TTTTCAACATAAACCAATGTGATGAGGCCTGTTAACTGGCTTCTCTTACGTTAACTTACTAGTGTCAGCGTAAAACATTTATTTATTTAAAACTGAGTGCTGCACAGCCCGTAATCCGTGCAAAACTTTGACCGCACAACTACAAGAAACATTCTGTAAATGACTGCTAGACTGTTCGCATTTTTCAGAAAAAAGACTAAAATAAAGTATGGAATCCCCTCCCTGGTGACGGATAAATAAATAAATAAATATTTTATTCTCAGCTTAACAGTTTAACATGAGAGAAGCCAGTTTACGGCCACCATCAAATTGATAATGGTAAAGGAATCTCCACTATCTGAGCTGTCCTGAGTGATGCAGAAGGTATCGCATCAGGGTTTATCGTGATAATAAAAGTGACTACAGGTTATGAAAGGGACATAAAATATCACTACACAATACATTCAGACTGTTTATGAGTTTTGGTTGTCTCCACTCACCATTTTTTCACACAATAAAGTGATACAAAAACCGTTCAATATTTGACGTTTGCGTTACATGTGACCTAGATGGTTAACCTGGCGGTGTAATTCCGTGTTTCTTCAAATAAACGTTTATCTTGACACCAGTTATCATGTTTATAGTGTCGTTGGCCAACGAAAACTCACTTCATCGATTTCAGGTAACAGTAAGTGCCAGCATAACCATATAATCCACATGAGTATATAAATCTTCGCATTTCCCACTCGCAGTGTGACTTTGCTCTGCAATAAAGGCGTAATCCATCAGATTTAGTTGTTGCTACACAAAGAGATAAGTATCTGAAAGACCATTATCCAATGGTGATGGAGTTTTGCACATAGAATTCACATTGAAGCACACAGCATTAGCAAGGAGGTATGTTCGCTGTTAATTGTCTTCTACGAAACGGAGTTAAACGAGGTGAAGTAGTTGAGTCACTAGGTGAGTTTGTTTCTCAGATTTAGTTGTTTGTCCAGATTTTTGCTGCTTTGGGATTTGTCCTAGTGCTAACTTGACAGACGCAAAGAGCAATCACTAATTATTCGGACTTTTTATATACCCACAAGTACGAGACCAAGGAAGAACACGATATCGCAGTCGGATGGAATAGTATATTTGGATGATTGTGCCGAGATACCAATGCGTTTCAACTAACTGGCTAGAAAGTCGAATACAAGCAGTGCAACGTAACACGACAGCATGCCTAATAGCGAGGATGCTTGACCGGGTGTCCTCAGCTTAACGAGTCCAGTTAAACCATCAAGGTCAGCATCAATGTCGAAAGTCGTCAAACCCTAGGCTATTGACTTTGGGGAATTGTGTGACTCTACACTGCCATTATGACCGTTCAGAAGCTTTAGATCATTCATTGTAGCTAGGTTTTCGTACATGGTTGCATCTGGGCTGTCGTAGAACGTTTCAGAAAGTTGAAAATCAATAGGAGAAGACCAGATGAAGTATTCCTCCAATAATCTCTGGAAAAATGTACGAAGTAGTATATTCAGTAGGTTGACAATTCCGGCCAAAATTATGCTCAAGGTTTTCTCTTCAGACTTCAGCTGAAAAGAGAAGGAGAAAAGGAAAGCACGAGCAGAAACCGGAGAATGATATACCACACAAGACGAAATTGGGAAGAGAGAAGTTCCTATCTTTGAGACACTCGAGCTATATGCACACTTTAATTTGTGCATATGAAAACGACTTTTGTGATTATCCTGCGTAAAGTACATACAAGTTTTTGGATGTACTGTGTTTACCTGTAGACGTGCGGGTAAAACTGACTCAACATCAAGGTGATATATACTTTACCAATGTGTACTTTACTGACCACACAACCTAAGCTAGTGGGATAGCAGTCAAACGCCCCATGCAATAATGTTAGGGCCCATTAAGAAAAAATACTTGGGATTGATGACAGTTTCACTTTACACTTTCAGGGGGCTTAGTATGTTTTCATTAGCCCAGAACATATATGTAGTGACCAAGCGAATGATAGACTCATCATCTGTGAGGAGCTTATTAAGTGAGGAACGAAAGACGGATACTGAACCTGCAGTACGTATTTCCTCAGGAAGTCTATTCCAGATGTGAGAGAACTTATTGCAGAAGAAATAACCTCGCGCATCGGTCTTGCAACACTCGGTTTTAGCTAATTGTTTGTGATTACGCATACTGTAAATAGATGATACAACTATTTTAATTCCTGGGCCAAATGAGTGCATTTGCTTACAAAGTAGTTTATAATAAAGTACAAGATTCATCTTAAGTCGCCTCTTCCAGAGAAGTTCTAGTCCTATTTAGTTGCATCTGGAGATGTAGTCAAGGTTGCAGCCAGCTCCTAGTGTTCTCAGTGTAGAGTGGCTTTGTACCCCTTCGATTTTTAGTTTATCGTCTATTCGAAATCTGCTTATGGTAAATGGGAAGTGTTCTAGAATTGGACGGATGCATACTTTGTGGAGTAGATCCCTTGATTCATTACTATAAAAGTTACGAATGTTGCATCCTGGGAGTCTGCGTGACTTAGTTTCGCTGTACGCTGCCTGCTCAGAGAAATTCAGGTCACTGGAACATCTGGGCCCTAGGTCTGAGACAGAACTAGGTTTTGGTAACTGTTGTCCGGATACTTCAAATATCAAGTCAAGGTTACCGTTACCAATGCAGATCCATCCTCATTTGCTGATGTTGAACTGTAGAAGGGTATCAGCACACCATGAAGAAAGCTTTTCTAGTTCATGTCGAATAGCACTCATAGTGTCACCTAGCTCATGGCTATAGCAAGAGTAAACTACTTTTAGGTCATCGGCATATAGAAAGATGTCACCCGTGGCAGAGCAGTTGCAAACACCCTTAATGTAGATAGCAAACAAAAGAGGCCCGAGAACGCTGCCTTGCACAACTCCTCTCCTGATGTAGCACAACTCCACTTGTGATGTAAGACCTAAACAGGTAGGTTGGCTTAATCTAGTTAGTCTAAAGCTCAATGCCCATCAGATTGTTTCAGTGAAGTCTTCGCTACGGATCATGATAGAACAGCACACAACAGTTGTGTCAGAGCTCCCCCGACAGTGGATGCAGTGCTCATAAAAGCATTTTTCGGGTCTACCTAGCCAGTCCTTCATCCACATGGAACCCCAACAATGGCATTTGTCAATGTGCACCAAGCCATCGAATTTTTGTGAGGAAAGCACACAACCCACGGTCACGGCTGTATTATCTGTCCCACCTTCAAGAATATTAAAAGATTCAAACAATAGCCGAATAATTCCTAATTTCCAACTGAGCTTGCCTCAGTGTGATGGACAGTTATGTTGGTGTTTATCTGTTTTATTCCTTGTTGTCTGAGAAGCATCAATGTAATTTCTGTAGACGCACTTCTTATGTGCCATGAATAACGGTATCTGATGTACGGCTTAATATTACACATAACAGTCATTTCTCGTTACCAAAATAATCAAATCCGTAAAGTCATTTGTAGTCATGTGTGAAAAATATTTTTATTACTGTTATTATTAAAGGGAAACAGTTTTCCAATTTCTCGTTAGACTTCAACCTGGAAAATCTCTGGGTCCCCACGAGTTGCACCGCAGATTGGTTTCTTTACTAGCGGACATTGTTACCAGGCCAACCACTGATCTCAGAATGCCAACGCCTCAGAGACTGGAAAGGTGCTATGATCAATCTGGTTTTCAAGCCCAGTGGTTTTGCCAGTTGGTGGATAACTATAGTCTTACTAGAACAGTTATTAGAGTTTCAGGAAAGATAATTCGTGCTGTTACTTGGGGATGTCGAATCAAATAATCTTTTGGCGCCACAGCTACACAGTCTTCGTACTGAACACTGAAGTTTAACAAACCTCTTCATCGTGAAAGAGGAACGGGTAGCAGCCTATGGTTACAAGCTGTCAACAGTTGCGGTGTCTGTAGACCTCAGTGTCTCATGTACAACCATCAAGAAAGCTCTCCCCTTTCGAGTTTTGCGCTTTACTGCGAGCTTAAATTATGACCGAAGACAAAGAGTGAACGTTAATGGGACACTGTCTGGATGGAAACCCGTGATCAGTGGAGTTCTTCAAGCAACAAATCTAGGTTCACTGTTTTTGGCTACCCGTAAACGAATTATCACGAGCGCCTAACTCTTCGGTGCTGTTATTCGCCGATGATGTGAAAACTTGGAAAGTAATACGTACGACGCTCATAGGTAAGTACTTCAGGTGAATTTGCATGAGCCGTTGGATTAGCCCAAACTGTTTCGCCTTCAAAATCAGCGAAAGTTACAACTGGACATTGCACATTGGTCAAAGCATTGGTTACCGGTTTTCCGTTTATGGTTCACCAGTGCTCCCAGCCTCTGAACTGAAACATTTGGGTGCCATTATAAGCCATGATTTGAAAACTTCAGCACACTGTAATACAGCCGAAGCAGAAGGTTTCTGGGTATTATGGTCCATCCACAAACTTTCTGAGTTATCGGCCGGGATATGTTCAGAACATTCCATTCTACTTACGTTGAACCTCACTTGGAATACTGCAGAGAGTAGGTGATAAGCCTCTGACAGTTCTTCTGAGTCTGTCCTATGAGGACTGATTAGGCTAGCCAAACTTATTCCCACTATCAACGTAAAAAATGGAGTGATCTCATACTGACACTGCGTATCCTGAATAATGACTTCGGTACTGATATGTCCCCTCTTTTTTCTCCAGAAACCACGACTGAACCAACTTAGCGTGAATCTGAGGTTCTCCTGTCGTGCAGTCAACAACTGGAATTCCTTACCTCGGCAGATGGTTTCAGCCATTTCGGTCAGGGTTTTAAGGGAGAAAGTAGGTCTTGCAAGACATATCTTCTTCAGGGGTTATATAAAGCAAACTGGCCCAATAACCCACTTACTGAAAACTGAAACTGGAAACCTGCAACTGCAGCGCTTGTGTCAAGTATGTGCGCTACTTTCACACCAAGCATTCCTGAATGTTTGGTTTATGATTGGATTATACATAATTGAAATGATTTTGGAAGTAAAAAGAGCATTTACAAACTTTCTGAAGATGAACAGTGATTCAACATCTACTGGTCACATGAAAAATGGTATACAAACGGGTTCACAAGGGAATTCTAGTTTAACTGATCAAGACTGTCCTAACCCTTTACTCAGAAATAGTGTACATCATGGAGATGGTTGCGACAAAACCAAAGAATATTGTCACCGATTTGGTTTCAGAGGGTCAACTGTTTCTGATTCATTGGATTTGGCAAGTCACCGGAATCAGACTTCTTCGCATCCGAAGTTTAGACAAGAATCCATAGAACTTGGATTGATCTGTCCAGAAAAAGTTTATTCTACCAAACAGTCCTCTCTCAATGGTCATTTATTTTGTCCTGTGCCTCTTGATGGGGATACATTCTGTGACCATTGTAACCAGCCGATCTGGGAGTTAGGATGGCGACCTGTATGCTTGAAGTGTGCAAGTAAGATATCCTACTCTTTTTTAGTATTTTCCAGTTGCCTATTAAAAATCTTCATCAATTCTACCTCTCTGTTGTGGTGGATCTTGTACTCCAGGTTTTTATTGAAAGCTTGACTAGCATGGTCAAGTACCCGCAAAGTCAGAATATTACTCACTCTATTGGAAGTTCTATTTAGTATAACTTGGAAAAGATAATAATTACATTGTGTATAGAAGAGGAAGTCATGGGATAGACTCTGGTTCCAATGAATTTCTGAATAAAGTTTATATACTTATCCTACGAGCTAGTACAAGCGTTCATATCTACACCTCTCTTCAGTTTTCATGACAAGGTACGATGAATCGTGTTGGTTCTCACAAATTTAGATCTTTGATGCGTTCTAACTTCCTAACTGGTCGTAAATTGCTTTAAATAGTAATTAAGTTAAGGTCGTTGCATTGTTTCCATTTTATTTCCCACCTTGTTTTCGGTTTATTTTAACAAAGTATTTATTAATGTCTGCCAGTACTTTTGGTGGCAGCATTTATCTTTTGATATCAGTGTTAACCAGATAGATTGTCCAAGGGACTGATTTTTTAAAAATTGCATATTGGCTACGTAATTTCTAGTTCTTGCCAGTCGTCTTCAGTGTGTAACTCATATACAGAGTATTTCGAACAATTTTTTATACTTTGTGCATCATATGTTAAAGATATGGTATTTAATCCCTAACGCAAGATAATTTTTGTAAACTGGATGTTCCAGTTATCATGGAAATTGGAATTATTATGAATTATTTACCAATCGCTTTCGTAGGTTTTGCTTTACTTCTCAGTTATGGAAGATAAAATTAAAACCAATATATGGTAGTCTGTATTTTCATTTAGAAGCCACTGAGTTCTTTGACATGTCAAGGAGAAGTTTGTGCATTATGAAATGGACTTGTGTATTAATATTTTTTTACTCTACTTTGGGGATCTTGAATTGCTAACCCATTGGTAGCAAAAGCACACTCAACTGCGGTTTGACTACCTTGCAGCTTCTTCAGAGCTGTCTAAAAGCCAATGAACAATGAAGTGGGTAAGACGCTGAACTGATGCATGTGAGATGCGTCGAGAACCTTGAAGCCGGTATTTGAGGATGACTTATTCAGTTATCACCATGTTAATCAAGCACCACACAAGAGATCTGGAATCTCACCACGCACGTTCTTCAGAACTGCCTAAAAAATGCCATAGGTGGTAGAGGCCAATAGTGAAATATGAAGCTAGCAACTTTGCTTGCTGCTACTGTTTTGCAACATTGGTTATAAAGGCTTGAGTGTCTGAAGTGTGCCTAGAAATGGTTTTCTAAGTTCTAGTTAACTTACGAGCAAAACTCGTGGTTAATTTCAGACCAAATTCCTACACCATCAGTTAAAAGTGCACAGCAATTTTCGGTACATAACACATGTGAAATTATCATGATCTTTATCTAGGTGTAGATAGTTAACCAATTCATCCATGACTTACATCATACCTAACGTCTTACTCGTAACTTCCGAAGATAAAAGCTTCAGATTTCTGAGCGTGGTTATCTTTGATGCACTACTTTCATACACTACAACCAGCTAGTTAGCAATGCTGAAGTGAAGGTTAATCAGCTATTTAGGTGTCTCTCTTTGCCATAGTTGAACAATACACAAGATAGGTGTGTTTAGCTGCAGTGCGTAGTAACGCGCTAACACTTGTAGCAGAAGTAGAGTTGAACATCAGTAAAACCAAAATTACTACTTAGCTGTACAATTTACTGCACCACATCTGCACCTTGAGTGAGAATGCATTTAGATGAAACACTATGAAATAATGAAGAAAGTAGTTGAAAGTCGTGGAAAAAGAAGAAAAACCATCTGAATCGACGTGAGTTCACGACTTCATCAACTAACATTTTTTACCGGACTCAACCCATAATCTATACATTACTAATGTAATGGTCCCACGGCACCGCTCTACCCACCGAGGTTTGGGCAGCCAGGTATTGTCACTACCCTCACATAATAGGTGTAGCTCATTGCCTACTGCACGACTGTGCACAATAGGATTGAGTGGATTACGATTTTTTTCACTTCCTAGCCATCTGTAGGGCTGTGAAACAGCCATTAAACGTGAAGGAGATGCGAAGGCTTCAGATGTTCGGCCACCATTGCCTTTGTAATTTAGGTCGTGTCTTAGGACTATCACATTAATAATGTATGGGTTATGGGTTGAGTTTTAGGCAAAATAGATCAATCAGTTGATGAGGTCGTGAACCTTCAGCGATTCAAATGGTTGGGACATGTGTTACGCCTGCGTAGTCACCGTCTGCATAGTCGCACAATCTTAGCTAAAGTAGGTTCTGGCTTGAAAAAGATTAGAAGCAGCTAGAATAAAAAATGTAATCAGTTCATGAATTCGCAGATTGTCGGTCTATGAGGGGATTTAGATTTTCTGGATGGTGTCCATGTAACAACCGAAATCGGTGGTCGGAAACTCGACGTGAAATGACTGAAAATTGATCTCAGTGGCGCAAACGTATCTATACATGATCTGTATTTCATTATAGTCTGATTTCTGCCACTTTCGACTACTTTCTTCATTATTTCTTAGTTTTTCATCTTAGTGCATTCTCACTTCAGGTGCTGATGTGATGTGGCAAATTAGATTGTTTAGCAGTAGTGCTACTAACTGTATAATTTTAAGTGGCTGATAGACAAGGAGGCGAGTGTTCTTATCCAAGCTCATTCAGTGCTGGTTATGTAGGGGGCGACCACCTGGTTAAAGTAGCGGCCGTCAGTAGTGGTTTGGGTTGTAGGGTATGTAGATAAAACTAAATGAGGGACCAATCCGCGAACTGACTGAGTGATGGCTGCGAAACGCCTTCGACATAAGGGAACTAAGTGCATATCCGTTAAGACTAAGTTTATGAACCTAGTACTCGCGTTTTGTCCTATGAATAATAACTGATACCTGTTGCACAAGATGTCCCTCGTACCTCACTGACCTAGTGGATAAGACTTTGATGTTTAGACCGATGGTACTGGATTTGCGTCTTCATGGGAACACCGTCACTCACTGGAGTGCAAGGGTGTCCAGCTGAAATAGGACGAAATACGCTTCTTGGATTCCACCGCTAGCCACCAAGTAGGCTACAAAATATTGAATATTCAGGTAGCATCTTAGGCATCCGAATAGAGGTCCATCTGCCAACGGAAGTCGAGCATTTGGATCCAGTATGATGAGAAATTGTTTACTAACGTTTTATGGACTAGTTTTGTACGTTACTTATTGGTCCAGATGCCATTTTTTGTCACTAAATGAAATAATAATCTATACAATAATGTTTCTGAGCTCCGCCTAATGATTATTATCACTCATCGAAGTAATATCGAGAGCAAGCTGTAGAGGCTGTAAAATCGGTGTACTTTGGGGAAGTAAGATGCTGTTAGCTGTTTGTTTATGTCTGATTAGATATGGCCTATTTTAAATTGTAAAATAGTCCGGATGGGAATTTATATCTTAGGGAGCATTACCATAACTATAACTCACCAGTCAGATTGAAGTAAACTAAGAATTCGCGAGCAGTTTGAAAGTCATGTATCTGTATTTTAGTAATTAACTAGGTTAACTTTTCACCATAAAATTAGACTGAGCTTAAAGCTAGGCCTAGCTAATGTCAGGAAGCTCAAAGCCAAGATGCATGACTTATTGAATGAGGCACACTCACCATTCCACATCTTATATTTTTTGAATTCTGCACTAGGTGAAAAAACATTCGGATATTATTGCTAAAAAGGCTTTACTTTCAGCCTTTAAAAAAAATCGTATATGCCTATGACTATGCTTCCACAAGTACAAGTAAATAAATATGGTATGATTAATATGGGCTCACAAGTAACATCTCATTTTCGGTATCTTTGAAATGAAATATACTGTTATTTTTCAGTTTTAAAAATGGAGCTAAAGTGCATAGAGGTTGCCGAAAAAATTACCCTTAGTTGTAACCTGAGAAAGTCAGTTTATGGGAGGGATTACCTCTTGATTACAAGATAAACTGCTACAAAATTATGTTAGAAGACTAAGTCATTTCACATTTTTGTGTGTGTTTGACTTACTGCACGTTATTCATAGTCGTTTAACAATGTATTCTGTATTCTTAATCTGTCAGAATGCCATATGACATGTCACTGGCTCTGCAAGGATGAAGTTACAGTTTTGTGTGATGAAGATGCTAAATGTATCCATCAAACTGCTGAAGAAAGCCCATTCCTAGCTGAAGTTATTTCAAATGAAGAAATTGAAAATGTGAGTATGCATTACTTTTTGCTTTATATGTATGCGAACTGTAGATTTTTTAACCGATAGTTTAGGTGTCTGACTCTCTGCTAGTCGGTTAACGGTTAATACCCACTCCACCTATTTTAGTTTGTGAGAATAATTGACATTTTTAGCTTTCACGTTGTGGACTTAACTCTTAACCTAGTCCACTAACTTTCTGTGGATCTGTAGCTCATTAGATTAGGCAGTTAACTTACCATCAGTTGGTTGTGAGTTTGAACCCCCCTCCGCATCTGCCAACTTTTTGGACAGCCAGAATGTATCACATGGTTTAGAGCCTAGTCTATTATCATCCATTTAATTTATGAACATTTTATTTTATAATACTAGAAGAAACCAGATATTTATGTTAAATTCCATGCTGAGTTATCTTATGTTAGTTTATAAAGCAAATGATATTCAGTGAAAGTTTTCACCCACCTGTTTCAAATCACTAGTTGGAGGGAAATATGTTCCCCACTAGTCGTTGACAAGTTGTTGTCCCCCTACTCTTCTGGTTCATCCTATGTACACATGGTTTATTCCAAGATGAATTTCTTTCGGGAAACTGCTTCTAACTTCCCTTGTTATTGTTCTTCACACCCTCGTCACAAGGGGTGACAGAGTGATATATTTCCTCGATAATCGTGCTCTCTCATCTGTTTCGTAGTGGTTGGTCTATATATATATATATATATATATATATATATATATATATATATATATATATATATATATATGTTTTATTGAATTCCACTTGATTGGTCATATTCTTCTTAATTAGAATGTAGCAGATCCACTATCGAGAAAATCAATAATAAGTTTTAATTCGTCTCGACGAGGACTTTGGTGTTGTGGTTATGAACAGATATGAAACCATTTCAGTTTATTCATACCAAGTAGCAAAAGTAAGTTTCTGAACACTATGAAACTGAGCAACAACTCTCAGATATATTTTTATTACTATTATTTGTCCCTTGGGTTCCTAGTGGAACATAGGGCTTCAGTAGCATGTGGCTATTTCACTCTGCTCTCTTCAGTCTTTTCAAACTGGCTCCACGACTGTCCACAAGCTTTCGTTTCTTCCTCATACCATCTCCTTAATGTTACCCTCGCCTCGGACACCCAACTCGTCGTTCCTCCCTTGGATTCAACTCGAGGGCTTGGCTTGTCGCGTGATATTCCCGAATGACAAGACAGGCAAGATTCAATAGAGATTCATTGGTAACCATGGGATATAAAACACTATCTGTCTAGTTCAATTATCATCATATAGCTACTCGATTTTTTAAGAGGCCTAAGGGTTCTTTCTTCGTTTACTGTCAATGCAAAGATTCTCCAACCCATCCAATCTCTAAATTCGTGAACTCAAAAAGTCATAAACAGTTGTGATACTGTAATTTGAACTTCGATTTAATTTGTTCACTTAATCAACTAATTTTAGAGTATGTTAGAAGGGATAAAACGTACTCTTTAAATAATATTTTCTTATTAATATCCATGTATTTGTTCGCTGTAGTTGTATGAAGATTCGGGTAAGTTACTTCCTAGATCACATAATTTCTAAAACTCATGTCCTACGTTCTAACAGTTGAAGGCATTAAAAACTATACATCAGTTTATCATCCTATGGTGAAAAAATGTAAACCTTAGGAAAGCAATTTAACAGTCGTTTCTTGCATTCATTTGCATGAAAGTCATGCTATTAACTAAAAGCATTTGTTTGTTTTTGTGAGTTTTAGTCATTGTATTTTAATCACTTCAAATGTACAGCTCATGGATGGTTATTTTTATTGGTGTAAAATGTAATAGTCTTCTACATTGGTTGTGGTTAACAATAGTTTTTTTATTGATACTGAGAGTTGATCGAAGGTGAAATGGAAATTTGAGCCTCAGACAGACTCTAACTAGCAACCACCGGGTTTCTGGACTGGGCAGCCAGTATGAGTGCGATCAAGCGGTAGTAACGCCTCACGAATTCACATGGTCGTCGGGAAAAATCATTGGTGACTAAAGTGAAATAAAAACCTGGTCACCAGTTGGGTCTCGTAGTTCAGTTGGTAGAGGATCGGCCGGAAACCCGGTGATCGCTGGTCCGAATCCCGCCGTGACCCAAATTTTCATTTCACTTTCAATCATCACCCAGTGTCAATACCAGTCTGCCAGACCACGGGCATCTCAAGTAGTCAGAATGACGAAAAAATTTATGACATTCTTACACTGAATTTTCCGTACGGTCTCATTCTAGCGAAGCACATACATTTATAACGCCGTCGTCTGATTAATGCTGTTATATATTCTTTGCTCACCATCTACCAACATCTTAAAATGAATATAGATGTTGCTTCTCCAACGCTTATTGAAATTGTGAAATTTGTTTCAAATCTAAAGTGAGGCAGAGTAGTAGCGAGACCTAATGATTTGCCTCTTGGGGTCATTAAGGATGTTGATTACTTATTACCGGTTAGGATAACAGGTATCAACCGGGTGCATAGTAACCAGAGTCAGTTTAATTAAACTGGTCTAGGTTATTCATCATTGCAACCAAAAGGAAAAGAGGCAAATACTCCTGTGATAAACAAACGATTCCAGGATTTTATCTGACACGTAACTGAAGCTCGGGAAAACGAAACCTGAAGAAGTCGAGTGGATTTCACTCATAGAAGAAAGTGTATTGACTAGACCTCTACTCGCTGACAGGTTCTAAAACACAGACATGTTGCCACCTGACACTTGCCATATCTGTCTGTGTAAGTGAAATCATCGCTCGACTGAGTTCATCGAAATATATTACGGCTATCAAATTGTGAATGACCTTCTGAGAAAGTAATTAGTTCTAATCAAGGTTGTTTCTTCAAAATAACAACCGTACGAAACCTTTTAAGCGATACCAGTTGTCAGTTTCCACCACGTATATCCACTCTTACCGCTCTTATTTGGATTTGCTACAGATGCACTGATACATGTGACCGTGATTGCTTCTTGCTTCTTGGATGACACAGTCAGGACTCAAGATCTTTGGAATTCTTTGAGCTAAAGGTCTTTTACTCTCTTTACTTCACATGTTGTCGGAATGCATAGCTACTAAGACGGATGGACTTTCATGTTAAGTTCGACATTGATCTCATTGTGTGTCATGTATCTTAATCCCGTTGATCCAATTTCTTTATGATATACCCTTTTATAACGGCTAATATCATTTCAATTCCCTTGTCCTTTCTCTTGAAACTTAAGCAAAATTTAATGTCACAGTGATCCATTTCCAAAAGAACTATACAACTAATTTTCCTATACATCAAATACCTTAAAGTTTTAGAAAAATGTTTGGACTTGAAACAGCCCAAAACTGTGTCGTTACCAATTTGATGTAAGCCAAGTTTGAAGGCAGATATTTTTGTGACTTATTCAGGCATGATTCATAGGCAGCCAGCATTATTTGTTGCTACACTTCCCATCAGTCTGCGAATTAATCGGCATTTACCTCACGTGAAGTAGCTTTTTCCAGTCCAATCTATACGTTGATCTCTCTGAACAGTGATAGTTCACTACTGTTAAAGGGTGGTCTAATTTTTTTATTGCAACATCAATCATAATATTCATGTAGAATAGTACAAATTGTATTAATTAATAGTACTAAATCCAGTATATGATTGATGAACTGTTTTTTTAACTGTCATTTTTCTTGCTAAAAATTGTCATTAATTTTAGTGCAAAGTATCTATTTTCACTTTTGCACTTTATTTTGCATAAACAGGTTAGTAACCAACTTTGTCAACTGTCTACATATCTGGAGAACGATGAAAAGTCTACATTTGAAGATACTTTGACTAAACCTTCCGAAGTAGACTCTGGTTTAGGCATTCAGTTGACTACTGAGTCTGACATCCGACTATCAGATACAGTCTCTCCTGAAGAATATTGTACGGTATATAATTTTATCGACAAAGTTGTTGATCATATTCCTACTGAAGTTACCGCAGAAATAAACTCTCCCAGTTCCAGTTAGTGTATTTTCGTTCAGTTATTATTTGCTTTATTGTTTTAATATGTCGAATGTGTAGTAAAAATTAAATTTGAAGAATATCAGGACGTTACACCTCATTGTTTGCAATTTCATTGCATACAGGTGTAAATGAATAAACAGTTAGGAAGAAATATGTACACTTTTATGCTTTATAAATGAAGAAATAAGCGGTTACAAATCGAACGATAGTAAATGTCAAGTGGTTTATAATTCAGTTTGAGAAAGCTGATGCCACAAATTGGCATATTAAATAAGTCTGCCTTCCAAGATTACAGCTTTCTACTGTAAAACTCTTGGGAACCAAATTCTGCTAAATGACTCTATAGTGACCATTAGATTTCTTATTATTATAGATGTTTTAGATATTGTTAGTTTAAGGGTAACATTTTGTGAAAGATGTTTATGAAAAAATAGGTAGATGTTTAAGTTTGTACGCTTCAGCAGTTTGCATCTATTCCATGCTGTTCTGAAACCATTACAAGTTTTTCAATCAAAATTTACAGAATGATCAGCAAAAACAGAAAACATGAATACGTAGATCATTTTTTTATTAACTAATATTAAGGGTTAGTACAAATCGGTAGAGGTTGAAACTACATTCCCCACTTTGATAATTTGATTATTCATCTGTCTCATATTGAAAGCTTTGGTCATGAACATTCACACCATGAGCTGGAGGTATTTATTTCTGCACTAATATAGTTTTCTTGATCATTTTGAATGCTACACAGTTACGTTTATACGCTGTCATTCGTTTGCTTTAAAGATGGTTGTTGGTCTTCTGAAATACAGGTATGCTTGGAATATGCAGGTGAAACTAAGTGAACACCCAGTTTTACACTTACCTGTAAACTAGTAAACGCAATTAATTTTAGTTGAGAAGTCATTGAATTTTAGCTAATATTTATTATTGAAAATGTATGTATGTTCGCTAAAATAAATTGTCATGGATATTTTCTTTGGATTGTTCACCATCCCATTTGTTACAGAAAAAAGTTCGATGTTGTATATTCTAGTTATTCTGTTTGTATTGGTAGAATCGGAGGTTTACGTGAAGTTAACACTTCTAAACTATCTACGCTGTAAGCGGTAGGTTACTTCTTTAGGTAGGTATTTGGAAAAGAAGGATTATTATTAATCGGAGTTATGAAACTGGGATGATGATAGCAAAGTTGAATGAACGTTTGCTCCAGGCCAGTCAAATAGAACGAATGGTAGTAATTCATCAGGAATACATTTTCATTAAGTTGATTCATTTCACAATACACAAAGGTTTCATGGACAATAATGATAATAATAATAATAATAATGCAGCTCAACACTCTACAGGTTTATTTACTAGGTTAAGAAAATCAAGTGTGTGAAATTTGATTTTTATGCGTGAGTAGAGACTGTCATCGTGAAATGTTTTGTTTGTCTTACTCATGTTTATTCTGGTAAATAAACATGCTGTGTATAGTCAAAAGGTAAAGTTTATGATACGCGCTAGAAGTGACATTAATGTTGTGTAAAAGTTTATCATTCAAACATGACTTTTTTTATCCTTATGTGACTGTTTTCAGGTCAGCAGCATTTCAAGTCAATAAATCGTGATTCCAACCAGTCATACAAGTTAGTCTAAATGATAAAATATCAGTACAACAACAGAATGTTGAATATGTTGAGACATTTACTGGTTCGTACATATCTTCCTCTTCAGAAAAGCCTATCATATCTGATTTTTTACGTTCACCAACACTGTCAAGGCGTGCCACTGACATTGGTAAGCAGAAACGACCAATGAATGTGAAATTAGCTGCTCGGCATTCATTTTTATCCGGAAGTAAACCACATGTTTGTTTAACCTACGATTTCTCAAGCTTGGACAAAGAAGCAATTCTAAGTCGAGGGATTTCTGTAAGACAATTAAGCCCATCTCTCGCTGAATTAAAAAATACTTCAAAATCATTTCAGGATATAAATATTACTACAGAAGTTATTTCAAAACCTGACGCCATTATTTGTTCAAATGAAAGTTCAGGTTTAGAACAAGAATTTTCGGATATTATTGGACTTGCCAGTGTGATACAAACAACTCAAGAATTTATTCGCACCAAACCTAAACGAAGCTTTCAAACTCACTTAGTGTCGCCAAACTCCCTTTCACTCATACCAATGGTTGTTGGACCCCGGGCAGAATTGCCTTGGTCACCAGATCGTCTAAAACTACTCATTAAAGTTTTCAGTATGAATGAATTTGGACTGCAGGTGACTAATGTAAGACTTTGATTCGATATTTTAAAAGAATTAATTTATGACCAACATAGTTATGGAAATTAAATGCATTTTGTGTATGTTATTTTGGTGTTTGAAAACTAGCGGTACCATGTAAAAATAGGATACAAGTAAAATTAAATGAAATTTAATACTTGAAAACTATCGTTGGAATACTACAAGCAATTTAGATGTAGCAAAAGTGAATGGATGAATACTTATCTTTTATAATTGCGTTTTTATATTGTGTATTCAAAATCCTCCTCAATTCACTATCATACTTCTTTATTTAGACTCTTTTAGTGTGCTGTATCGAAAACAATTTGAAGTCATAAAGGATTGTCTTAAGTTGGTAGTTTGAAAATTGCATCTTGGGGTGCAGCATTGCTAAAGATCATATATTATTGGTCAGTAGTTAGTGAAAAGGATTCGTCTTCATGCATTTTTGGGATGATAGTGTAGAATAAATGAAAATGAATTCAATTCAGAAACTATGTAAACTTTTGTCTACTAGGCTATCATGCATGTTATATGAAGGCTAGTAGTGTTACTTAGCTGCTCATCTCATCGAGTAAGATTCGAAGTTAAATGTCCAAATCAATGAACCATAGTTGTCCTGTGAGGAAATCGGATATTATGTATGACTTGTTCAAATTAAACTATAAATTAGATTATTATTCAAAACATAAACACGGTACATCGTGGACACAGAAATGCGTTGAATAATCGACGAAATGTAAAGAGCAAATTAACAGTAACACGTTAAGTGTATTGATATAGTAAACCAAGTATAGTTAAGTATTTACTTGTAAGTCGAACAACTTGGTTTACTCTTACATGTCTGACTTTGAGTTGAAATCATCTTAATCATCAACTTTAAAATTCTCTCTAAATTACTACCAATTCACTGTTCTACATTTACACTGAGATTATGTATAGACAAATAGATAGACAAAATCAACGTAGAATGTCTCACACAAGTGTATCGATTGAAGCTGCCATACCTCACAATAGCATGTAGGAACAATTGGATAGAAAAAGACTAATATCATTGTAGATGTAGGTGAAAATATTCAAGCTTTTGAAGACATCAAAGAATGGATACATATGCACCGTTGTGACTGATTTTCAACTAATTCACCAAGAGTCCTCAACCAGTTATTCTTATCCTCTACATCTTCCCACATGGCTCAGAACAATAGCCAGATACTTCACGTATTGATGCCACGTCTGGCCGCCCTTACCCTTCTTTCAACCTAATCCAACTTTTGATAGGATGACACCTTGAGGTAGATGGTGGCTTGGCATGTCCAAGTCACCTCAAAACAGGTGTAGTAATTTAAAAGGTTTAAAAAAGTGAAACTTCGAGTGTACATATAATGAACTATCAGACTTTACTGGATTTTAAAATATTATTTCCCCCTTTCTATACCTGTTTTGAGGGGAATTCGACTATTACTTCTTTAAAAAATGAAATTCAATTGGTTCTGTGCAGGATTTTCCATCTGCGCTCATCATTTACGAGTAATAGCAGATGTTGGATTATATCAGTTTAAGCCGAACACCGGAGGAACTTTCGTCTCACCCTTATTGACTCATTACTTTGCAGCTTGAATGAAATGCTGACGGTGAACCACCAACGTTGACTGAAATTAAGACAATTATGATAAATGCAAAGTTGACCTATTGTCAATTATCTTGTAAACACTCAGAAACATCACAATGTTTGGAGTGTATTTCACACCCGTCAAGCGTAAAATAGGGTTGTAGGACCCAAACTTTCTGCAGTTTTGATAATAAATCTGTATACCTATCAAAAGCTAAATGTATTCTACATGGATGTATCCCTTTCATTCATAAACTTGTTAAAGATAACTGTTGAAAGTAAATGGCGGTGATTTCCAAACATTGCATGTGGCACAATCGTTGGTTGTGTAGTTTGGAAATTAGACGGAGTTTTAGACAAGGAGGTTAATTCAACGAATCAAGTTATGAGTCTGTATTGACCAAAATGTTTCGAAAATATCGCTTTTCATTGTAACATTTCTAGGAAAGTGTAGATTTCTTGATTGTGGTTTTGGAGATGTAAGAAACCTGGTCCTAGATTCTTTGTGACGTGTGTCAAAATCATTTTCAGTGTAACAGATGATGCTTTTGCTTACAATCTCTGACTTCTATGTTATTGTTTATCTACGCTTTGTTTATCCCAGAGTGCTCATTACATAACCATTAATGGATTCTAACTACCTATGTTGTTTGGTTGCATATGTCGTTACTTCATGAGACTTTTGTGCTGGAAATTAGGAGATATAATCTTTGCAGGTTGGTTTCCAATTGAAATCCTGTTGACGTCGCGATAGCTGAGCTGTAGCAACTATCAACGTAAACTGTGCAACTTATGGATCATTTCAAATTCACTACCTACTATTTTTCATGTTGAACTGAAATGCTCAACTTCAAGAGCTTCAATGATGTCATTAAAAGAAAGGGTAAATCGAACAAAGTCTGGGTTAACACACATGCCTAACTCTTACCAGTAGGAACAGTAAATGCTGTACAATGCAAGTCGTATTTTGATAACTGTATGCAGGTTCTCGAATTATAAATCATACTTATTTCGAAGTTGTGAGTAACACCGGCTTGTTTAGACGGAGGCTAGTGAAGTAAGTAGTAGTGATAGTGAAAATATGGTATCACTAGCCATCGCATTGTAGCTGTGGCTCATCCCTTACTGCGTGTTGAAGTAGGCTTAAGTAAGTGACCTTAGTGGTTTTGAACTTAGCACTTATACCACAGAAAACAAGCTTCATGTCTTACCTATGCGGTATTTGTTGACTGATAGGAATGAACAAACATGTAAGTTTGTGAGTTCTTGCGTATCATTTTTGTTTTATATTTTATACTTTAACGAATGTCATCTAATCCTACAATTTTTCTATATTTCACGTATTTGACAGTAGTCTTGTTTTCCTTTTACAGTTGGGCGCTATTGGTTCATGTGACTGTGAAGGTCAAGTTCGTGTACACATAAACTTACTTCGTCCAATTCAAATGTTGCTTACAGCTCGACCAGCTTCTATATTCGATGTTGTTGGTACAAAAAGCGTAGATGAGCGAGAAGATGAAGAAGAGGAGGAGGAAGAAGCGGAAAACGATGACGATCACAACCCATGGTTTTTAAAAAGCAATAATGATAATAACGGTAATATCATTTTATCACAGCATTGTGCTGCTTCCAATGTACCACGCTCATATATATCTGCTGGTATGTCGAATTCCTCACCAAATGAAGAGACGCATGAGGTAGGACGAAACGTTACTGGATTACGTCGTCACCTAGGTCGAACAGCATCTAAAGTGTCTACTTTCCGACTACCCAGAGGGAGTACAAAACTGTTGCATGTTCGACTGTAAGTTAGTCATGTTGTGTGATTTATGTGTGTGGATTGAGACGGTAGAAACTTTTTTCATAAAAGATTAACAGTACTAGTCAGTATGTTTTAGAACTTTACATCATTAGTTACTTGTGAGTACTCCTAGGTGTAGGTGACTACTGCATCATGTTCTTCTCACAAAAGGACTAAACAATTTACTTCTAGAATTGTAACCAGCATTCGTTAAGATGGAAATCATAGTGTTGTCTGTTATCGGATAAATTATGCTCATAGTTGAGAAATGCTTCGTTCCTCCTTTAAATTGAAGATAAGTTACTGGTTGGTCTCTCTCACATGATTCTGTCTAATCTATATTACCAATTTTCCTTAAAGCTTGTCTTTATCGTACTTATGACGTTTTCGTCATACTGCCAGGGCTTTTGCTAACGCCTGAATTTTGAAAGCCGGTCATTAGTTGCGCATGTGGACTTGCATCAAGATATCTGAGGATATAGGTGTAAAACTTCGGCGCTGTGCTAGAATTTAACTCCATATTAGATTTGTTTATTTGATTTATAACACAGTGACATAGTATTATTTGCTTGATGACGTTTCGAGCATAAATTATTGCTCATAATCATGTCAATGTAATTACATAACTTTCAATATTTAATTTTTATAGTTGTCACCTCATATTCGTAGTAAAATCTTCCATATCTCTGGTATAGGTGTTGGATCATTTGTATTACACATGTTTTGAGTGTTGATTCGATGAACCAAGATTCAGTGTTCAATCTCTCTATCCATCTAATTATATCGGAATTAAGTATAATGGTTTTATCTCATCCTATTATGTGGTTGTGTGTTAATGCATGCATTGCAACAGCCACCCACCCACACAATAGGGTGGGATAAAACCATTGTACTTAGTTCCTATATAATTAGATGGATAGAGAGATTGAACACTGAGTCTTGGTTCATCGAATCAACACTCGAAACACGTGTAATACAAATGATCCAACACCTATACCAGAGATATGGAAGATTTTACTACGAATAAAAACAAATCATATAAGGTGACATAACTATAAAAATTAAATGTTAAAAGTTGTGTAAATACACTGATATGATTATGAGCAATAATCTATGCTCGAAACGTCATCAAGCAAATAATGGTATATCACTGTTTACTTCTTGGCTTCTCTAAGAACAGACAGGAAGAAAAGTGAGGATGCCTATCAAGAGTTTCTGCGTAAAAAATATATTTTGTGCTGAGATTTGAATGCTGTAGAAGTGTGGCTATGCGCCTAATGAGGTTACCTCAACCTGAAACCTTATTTCGATGAAGATAAACCGTAAGAACTGAAAGCTTTCGCGTGAACAGATGACCTTCACCAACCAATAACAGCGATTCCAACTGAACTACCACTAACATAACAAATGATATCTACCCGATATAACGGGGTACTAAAATCACCATTTAGAAGATTAGTTCCTGAAACGGAACATGGTTTTATGTCAACAGTATGTTTTAGCATTGTATAGATGCAACATCATGAAAACCACACTACATGAATTTTCAATGAACTAGTTGTCATTGTGTATAACAAAGAGATAGGAGTAGATGCCAGCATATTGCACAAGGATGAATTTCGTCATGAATACAACAAATTACTATAGTTGTTTGCTGAAGGTCATCTTTCAGTACAGAGGTTTTTGTTTCTCATGTTTTAACTTCCCTTCCTGTTTATGTGACTGATTTTGGAATCAGTGTAATGCTAAACTCATTTCTCACTAACTACATAACTGTTACTTTGAATTTTCTATTTCATTAACAGATCAACGACTGCACAAATGGTTATTTGTGCATTGCTCGATCGATTTGGTATACGAGACAATCCTCAAAAGTTTGCTTTATATGAACACACAATCGAAGGGGATCAAAAAGGTTGGTTAAATTAACATGAAATGGTACCATTTTTCATATTTTGCCTAATACCTATTTAGCTGTGAATGTGTACTAGAGTGCAAAAAACAAAGCATGTGGTACTGCTTCAGAAAACTTATCTGACAACTGGTAACTTGTTGGTTAGGTCTTAGTATTTTGCTTATCCATAGACTAAGCATAATTCATTCCGTCGGTTTGGATTGTAGTAATTTTCGTCTGGCTTTTGATGAGTCAGAAATGTATCTCGCTTTTAAATGATGGCCATTAACTACTATTTACCAAGCTCATTGGTTTAAAGAGATGACTTTCAAACATTGGGTCATGGGTTAGAACGCCGCCCCACTTACCGAGGTTTGGGCAACCAAGCAGTATCGTATGCTCTCACACAATATGTATGGCTCATTGCCTACTGCACAAATGTGCACAGGGTTACTGAGTAAGCGCAACATTTACTAAGTTTATCGTGGCTTTGAATGTGGGATTATAAAAGGTCCTTGTAAACTGTTATAAAATCTGATGTAAAGTTACTTTGTTGGTGAAATAGAGTTGTGGTTCAGTGGTTTAGACAATGCTTGCTCCTATGCTGAATCATGCCTTCGTTCCATCTATCTATGTAACTGGGCTTTTTCTCCTACCATATTTATATTATGTGGCTGTAAATGCAGTAAATAAGGTTGGCAATAACCTGTTTCATGACTGTCGTAATCGCCATTGTGCCAGACATTTCTTGTTTCATGTCGTTTTCAGTGACTGTAAACTACTGCGTTCACAAGAAGCGTGCGAAAATGAAACTCAGCGTTTGATTGAATTATATTTCAGCAACCATTGGTGCATTCTCTTTTTATTTTTTACTACAGTTCGTAATAGAATAGTGGCGAAAAACTTACAGTTATGACTTATCGTTAGAGAGTCTGAAGAACCTTCATAATTTGATGGTTCTCAAACAAGTTTAAATAAAAAGCACGAAATTTCACACTATAATCACAAAAGCGTTGAAATATTTTCGTTCTTGTATAAAATCTGGATAACGGGTTGAATACCTGGATGTCATTTCCTAGTTCACTATAGTATTAGAAATTCACAGTTATTCGCTTAAAATTATGTGTTTTGGTTCATTTTCATCATCAGCTTTTTAGTCTTTAATGTTACTAACAATCATGAAAATCTTTATATTTTACCTGGAATTTGGAAATGATTCATAAAACACCTCAATTGATAATAATAATGGATAGTGGATAGCAATGGGGTCCAAGATGCGCGTTTCGTTCCATTTAGGACTCGTCAGTTGCATGTACTTGCCTCCTAGTGGGTTATTTTTTTCCTATGAAGATTGGGACCCAGAACCAATCACTTCAAACGCCACAGCGTTATCTGTTAGACCAATGAGTCATGATAGCCACTCTTTATACAACGGGTACAGTATAGTGCTTTATGTTATAGCCTGTAGATCAGCCATTATTCGTACAAAGGCTCCTGTCTGGATTCCTCTTAGTTGCCAGCATTTTCTAGTTTGATATTGATGATGGATAGTGAATAGCCGTGGAATCCAGGATGCATGTTCCACCTTATCTAGGACTCGTCAGCTGCAATAGCCTACCTCTGAGTTGGTGATGTTTTGATAAGTTAAGGTGTTCAGTTAAATTTGAACATATTTATCTAATAAGTGACTTTATCCCAAGAATTTGAATTATTCTCGCCCTCCCTTACTAGTGATTCTCTGTTCATTTGCCGTTTATTCGTGTCCATTATACAATAGTTTTGTGATGGACTAGTTGAATTCACAAATTTTACAGGCTATTTTCTATTTTCCTGAATATGACATACAATTCAGTGAATATTGTTAGCAGGTTAGATCATTAACTAGTTTGATATAGATTTGAGTTCATAATGAACTATGGACTAGATATCTTTTCCTAACAAAGAATGGTTCCTTCATACTTATTGGTTCCAAAGTGTTGTATCTGGATGTGCAAATAGGAAGGGTTAACGGAAAATTGGACACCGCTTCATCAGTTCACCCATAGTTTGTGGCAAAATATGAAATATGCCTACTTGAATTTAGTTTGGGGTTTTGTGACAGGTCTTATATTACTTATGTCCATCTGAGACTATGCTTTGTACGGTTGTTTAGGTCAATGTATCAAATTTGATTAATTTAATTGGTTGATAAACACAAAGACGAAGAGTGATATAATCTGTGTGTGTTTGTGTGTGCGTGTGTGTACATATGGGTAAGAGAAAAGCAACATGCATCAGTGAAAAGCTGCTTATACTGATACCTGTAATTAACTGATAGGAAAAAATTAGGTTTTTATATTCTCTGATAAAAATACATATGAGTTTTGGACTACACAGAAAACTGGAATTAAAACGAATAAAAATCCGTAACTATGATTGACCGCATAAACAGAAGTTATACAGTTGGAATTTATTCAATTGATTTTACTTTTTCCTTAGAAAAAGCGCTTGGTTACTTTAAGATCATCTTTCGCTTCTGTTTAGTTAATCTAAATTTTGTTTTTGTGCGTTTCACTTCTGTTTGATCCATTACTGTCGAATTGTCCTAATAACCTTTACAGCATGTAAAAAGGTATGCTATTTCTATGTGCTACAATTGTTATTCCTTTCTTATTGTGCAAAATTTCTAAAATGTTACATTAATTCCCATACTTTTGTGTTTCTATGTGTGTGTTTTTAGGGTTCATCCTCTTTAGATGTTTTAATATTTTGGTAATTATTTTTTTTTTCAGATTAGGATAGTTAATTAACGTTACCTTTTTATGCAACTTTATGAAATTTCGTATGAAAGTTACCATGTGGCCTGATTCATTCATCATCCACCATTGCTATAAAGCTATTACTTTTCAGGTCATTTGTAGGTAATTGAGAGTAGAAATTTGTATTCTTTTTCATGTAAAAGAGATAAAGACCAAACATTATTGTCACAACTAATGAATGACCATGGCAGATTGTTCCATATGATTTAGGGATGATTCACCGTTTCACTTCCCTGACTCTTCTCATAGTAATTGGACGTAGAGGTTAGAGTCTATTTCGAGTTGAGTACATTTCGACTACTTAAACTACTTCTTAGTTGGTTTTATTAACTACAACTATTTATGGCTTATAACCTGTTCCTTTTCTGCAGTGAGTTGGTATTATTGATCTCAGCTTCTTACTCAAGAAGTTACATCATTTATGAGTTATTACTGAGCATTAAGGACGCCTTTCATCAGTTTAGCCATTAATTTATAACGCCATTTGATGACAGATCTTTTTCAAAAAGCCTGATTTCACTGAACTGAAGTATTTTAATATCCTATTGTAACTTTTTGTCGTAAATATTATAAATACGTTGTAGGCAGTTGACGAGTACTGTCGGAAAAATAAAATGCATCCACATTATTCTACTCCAATGTTTGTTTTTGCTCTTTTAAACTTGATAAAGGGAAATATGTATATGAAATCATTCGCCTTCATTTGTGCAGCTATATCACAGTTTAAACATTGTTCGAAACATATTTTTCTGTTTGAAATATTTGCTGGGAGGTTTTAATTTTTACCATTGAGATGCTCCTAAAAATTTGTCAAAATTGTAGTCATTGGTTTTTATGTTCACACGATTGTTCAACTTTCTTATTGTACACTCAATAATCTTTAAACACACTGCAACTTACCCTCATAACTAACTTCATATTTAATCTTTGCTTCTTATCACCCGAGATTCACATAGCTGACTAGTCACGGTTTTTGTTCAACATGATATGATCGACAAAAACAAGACAAGTGATCATTGTTTTGTTTTAATATTGGGAATTATGATCAGGAACTGCAGTGCCAATACACGTATACTGATTCTATGTTGGTCACTGTAACAACTCCGGAATAAAGCAGTCAAATTTCTCTACTTTCTTCAAAAACTACCTTTCCAGCCGAAGTAATAAAACTTAATTGGTTATTACAGGCTTTCTTTAGAGTCACATCACAGGCAGTAATTTAGAAGTCGGAAATGAGTCATCGTGTCTTGAGTTAATGGGAACGCTTACCTTTTAATTTGTTGAAAAGCTAGTGTTACAAATAATAACTACTACTAAGTTAAAAGTAAAGTTGTATTCGAATACTGAGAAGTATATGTGTAACGAAGTCCTTTAGACTGAATGGAGTAATCCAATCAACAATAATTCTCCGAATCACCTGTTCTGTTCTTGAACCTTTCCAACATAAGGTGTGATATTTGATGGTTGAAGTTATTATTATTATTATTCGTGACAGCATTAGCTTGCATATTGTGTATCCTAAACGCCAACAAATGCATCAAATAAAAGTAAACATTTTCGAGATTTACCGGAGCGATATAAAAGGGATGTAAATTATCAGAAGAGCACCTATTACATGAAATGCGCTCAAGAGGCTTTCATCATTATTTTTCGTGTTACTTTCCGCATAAAACACAATGGAAAACTGATCATACTACCACTAACTTCAATTCTATAGCATATCTTATAGTGCTTTTAGGCCCTGACTACCCAGACTACTGAAATGCTTTCAGTAAGTGTTAACGATATGGGAATACCCTGGATTCTACAGTGGTATACCTTAGGTTGACGTTCTTTTTCAGGGTTGAACAAATCATGATAATCAGTATAAAAAGCCAATGCGTAAGACGTGACCTCATTGTTTTTAAAGATTCATTGGGAAAATGACACGGTACCGTACCAAAATGTATATTTTATGAGTACTTTATCTGCTGATAATGATAGTTGATTTTGTCATTGCTTCTATGAAAAGTCAGTTGACAGTATCAGCTCCTAGTATTGTAATTCTGTTGCAATAATTTCTTTTTTGCTAAGGTTAATATATGCATTATATAATGCTATGTACGTACGTAGTTGCACTGCTCATTGTCGAGATATTTAGAACAACTTTTCGTTATATGTTGTATTCCCATAGGGTTTTGTTCTCGGAGTGATTGATGTCAAGTAACACATTCAGTGATAAGGAGAATGAGGAATGTTGAAAAATGGGAATAGGTCTTAGAATCGTGATCAGCTAGTGTAAACAGTGGGGAGTGAAGCCAGCTACCTGTCAATCATTTCTTTTAGAATTGTTAGTTTTTAACATTGTAAAGCCTTTTTTATGATACACTTTCTTAGATTTAGTTTAACAGAATTATTTAGATGCTGTGGTATGTTCTGATTATCAGAATAAGGCTGTTTTTATTTATTTTAAAAGTGACACGTAGGTTCTCGTTATTTTTGGGTTTGTGAGTGTTTTTCACAACAGGTATGAAATTAATGCTACATTCCTTACACTATCCAATGCCGTTTTATTTAACTGGCTTTACCAACGACTTTTAAAACATGTCTTCATGTGATATTTTCAACTTCCGTGAGTAACGTGGAAGTCAGATGTAAATTCCTAGGTAAAGCAAGTAAGCTAACTGATGTTGTTGAAATTCACGAAACACTATCTACCTCTACGTGGGATTTTAAATTAAGCAGAATTATGTTGAAGTAAAGCTAAAGAGATGATCAGATGAAAACGGGGCATCAGTCAATGAAGTTTCTGACTTGTTCTGGGTCATACCGGGGAGGTCCCAAGAAACAAAATAATGAACAGGTGGTATAGCTTAGAATCGATCACGGTGACTAAGTTAGATACATGGTTCATCTTTATCAAAATAGTAATGTCACGTATTTTCATCATTTTTATTTATTTATTGTCTCCACTCTATAACTTTTCATGACATCTATTGATACAATATTCTTTCCTTCGTCTTCATCCTATGTGGTTTCCATCTTGGTGTGCTGACATGAGGCCTGTCACTTCAACCATCTATATCCTAATCAGTATGTATCTTTTTTCACGAATATTTCGTTTTCAAATGTATTCATACAGAATTGAAGACCCCTTTTTCTCTCAACTTGGCTACATCAAAAATTGTGACCACTTCTCTATTATTCATTGTTTTATCTATAAAGATGATCAAATTAACTCAAATTTTATGAATCGATTTTTCCCAGTATTATGATTCAGTCATATGCACGTAGAACATAAAGATTTTTGTTTCTTGTCGTTACTGGTGAGTCGAGTTCATGCATAGATTAATCCCTTTTCATAAATCCGCATATCTTCTAGCTATAGGGCATGTATGAAGAAGTAAATGAGTGCACTAATGTATATCCTATTGACCACCAGGTAATTCACGTTCTTCAAATTCCTTTGATAGGCAACACTACTTAATCTTTTCTGAATGCTTTTTTTTGAATAATCTCTCAATTTTGGCCAGCAGTGGATTCAGACAACTGTTTATCATTCACATTTACAAGAATTTACACAACTACCTCTTTCCGTGATTACTTTTTTGACCCCAGTGATGGTAGAAAATACCTTTGGATGTTTTATTATTGTTGTTTAAGTATGTAGTTGTACTTTTTACACATCATTGAAATAGTCAATGTTCGAAGTCGTAGTATTCACGTTACTTTGCCACTCATCTGATTGGTACAAGAGGAAGTGGATATGCCTGTCTTATGTCACTAGTTATTCGCATAACTATCAGCTCATTAGTATAGACTGATGTACTTACTTTCTGTAGAAATACAACGATATCCAATTAACTTAATAATCAGCAAATGTCTCAGATTATTCATTTTGTGGCAAATTGTTATGTACCCCTAATTTTGCCTAACTTTTGCCGATAACCTTAAAGTAACTTTATTATTGCTGTTTCTGCGTCGTTGCTAGCTTTTGTTTTTCCTACTGCTTCTGAAGACCGAACTTTCATTGATTGTTAACTCTTTTAACTTATCAATGAATTTAGTGATTGCCATCCAATGTCTTCGCGTGTTGGTGATGTCGTTGTGATGGTGGTTGATATTCTAACTAGCGACTAGAGTCTTTTGGGTGTTAGTTTCGCATCACTCATAGACTGCTAGGTCGCACTACCAGTCATAGCACAAACTGAACAGTAACCGTTGTAAATGATGTCATTCTTTCCTCATGTAATAAAAATGACATTTTATCTTCTTATGTTCACTAGCAACTAATGCTACTACATATATTTTAAAATGCTACGTTTTGATGTTTTCACATACTTTTGTTTTCCCCTTGATTGTTTTGCATCTTCCAGTTTCTGTGCGAAAATTATTTGATGATGAATCACCGTTGGGTTTGCTATTCAGATGGGCTGACCAAGATCCAGATAATTTTAACAATATCCTCAGTGTGAAGCGATTGGTACTACAGGAAAATGAAACTGGTGATATTGAAGTGAGCCGATGGTTTTTATTTTTGCTTAAAGATGAGAACTTAGATAATAAGCTGTTGTTAATGTTGTCTCTGGCATATGCATCAATCTTTTGGTCACTTTGAAAGTTGTGTTCTTAATACGCATTCAAAATATGGTTACTTATAACTCTACTATATATTCGGTTTCTTAGAAATAGATTCTTTGTCACAGTTCTTGAAAAACCATTTGTTCTTGATGTATACGGTAAGTATGGCTAGTTTTTTTTGCTTTCTACTTTCAGACTGGGTGTGAACTTGCCTCTTGGTTGGCAAACTTTTCATTAGCGAGGTGGAAATAATCATATCTTTAGAGTTCCTAAACGGAATACATGGTTTTGATTGACGTCAATAAATTTATAAAATGATGGTTTGACATAAACTAAATATCTGTATTTGGATCGAAAAGTATTCAGTACCATATTTTACTTTAAATGTTACTTTATACTAATGGATGACAGGTAAGCATCTTGCTGAGATTTGAATATGGACAAAACTTCGGAGACTAATGTGCATATATGAATGAGTCGACCAAAGTATGCAATTGGAACCCGTAGTGTAGTGGGGTTACTGATCAGAATGGATATAAGTAGTCTATATTGAGAGGGCGGCAGAAATTATAGGGGATTACCAGCAATGGGTAAAGATTCTGCCCAGAGAAACGCTTGAGACATTGCGGGCGTATTAAGAGCAAATCACAGTAGAAGCAGAAGAGAAAATGAAGCACATTATGCAAATGACAGTTTTAGTGCAAGGTGTACCCTATTTGATGACTGTTGTACAAGATATACTGTGTAAGAATAAACATTCCTTTCTTTGTCTCCGTCTTGTCGTTTTCTTTAGTAGAAGTCGATTCCACTTTCGTGTAATTGTAAATAAAATGTTGCCTCACCGTCTGAATATTTTCTTACGAAGAACATCGGGGTATAGAAAAGGAAATTAATTCGACACTAAAGTAACGGAAAAAGTTGAATAGCTTTATTAATTATCAGTAAAGAGAAAATATTCCACAGTGCTGTTTACTGAATCAGTTACTGGTAATACAGACAAGGCCGTTAAAAGTAGAAGACATCAAGCTATTACTGGGTTTTGATTACAGGTGTCTTCGTAGCATCTGGTGGGATCATGTGAGCAATGTTGAAGTCAAGCGAAGGGTACTAGGCAAGACAGGCTAGTCAATTGATGAGGTGATGGACCTTCATTGACTGAGATAGCTTGGACATGTACTGCGCATCCCGGGGCTCCACCTTCATCGATTTGCTGCGCTAGTGGAAGTTGGATTAAACGGGAAGAGAGTTCAGGGTGGCCAGACCAAGACGGGGCACCGGTCACTTAAATCTTTTACTGTTGGTCTGGGTCGTGTGGGGAGAAGTAGATTGCTAGGTTGGGGTCCCCGAAACAAAAAGAACCAGTGGTGTAGGACTGTTGATGACATGGCTAAAATTCGGTCACAATGTTCTGCAGGTGTATTCACTCTTTGACATCCTCGTAAACTTGAATATTTGCACTAACCTTTGTCTTCAGATTGTTTATTCTCTCACACAACCCTGCCTACTTTGAAATCACTTTTACTGTTAACGCTTTTTTGTGTGTATTACTGTGAAGTGTGGAAACTTGAACCAATGGACTTGTGTGCGAGGTTCTAAGTTGATTTTGTCAACCAGATAGTCAAATACAGTTGAATTCACCTCATCTAGCATCATCGTCAACAAATTACTGTTTAGTTTTCAGATCTCCAAAATTCGACACATCATTTGTACGTTTAAAGAACGTCTAGCTACATAGGTACGGTTCTGATAATTAATAGCCCTTAAATTGTTAAACTTTCGAACTTTGCTTTCATCATGTTCTTCATTCCATTTAGTTAGTGTATATTTTTCGTCAAGCTGATAGTTATGGATTGTAATTTTTATTTTCGCTAGCTTATGGTTAGATTTCAAGACTAATGGTCTCTGTATTTATCTTATCGCCCATAAATTATTTCAGCATGAGAGTCAACCGAATTAAAATATTTCTTTTCTCTAAGTTTTACTATCATTATTACATCCACTTGAAAAAGTGTTTAGCTTGTGAGATCACATTCTAATGTGGAACTGATTTTAGTTAACCTTCTCTGCTTCATGTACAAATCAGTTACGGAGACAACCATCGGAAGGTGTCCTGCATGGTATTATTTTGATCTAATTTTTGTTTTGTTTACGTTTATTTTCCACATTGAATGATGAAGCAGTTTGGATATTATTCCTCGTGAAGCGTTTTTTCATTATTTGGGGCTCGCTGGTATAGGCACTGGGCATTCATCCAGCCTATCACGGGTTTTCCTAAAGCAGATAGCGAGAAGGGGTATGGTTTTGCTAGTTTGATTGAGTTAGATCAATCAAGACGCATGGCTGGTTAACGCAGTCCCAGACAATCGAAGTGGTTGGTCGATGTTTGAACCACGTCAATCTGGCTGATGAGCACTGCTGATTGGCATAATTGGTTCGCAGCTACTCATATGAGTTAGTGATATGTATCGTAAAGATTTTATTTATATTGGATTTTGTTATAGCCAAAAGCTATTCCAGCCCACCAAAGTCACTCGCGGGAAAAAAATTTGCGTCGGTGGGGTGGTCTGTGAAATGGGTGGCATACCGGCTCACAACCTCCGAAGATACCTCTTTAGAAGCGTTATGTGTAATATGTGCGATAATCGATGGGTGAGTCTGCTGTTCGTGACCACGAAAGTATTAGTTGTTGTCATACTCCACTCGCGAAAATCTGTTTATCAGGATCAGGCTGTTTTTTCCAGGTTATCATGCATTTATTGACCATATGTTCACTTTATGTCAGGTGTTCTGATATTGTCTCATGTATTGCAGGCCAGCAATTACTGAATTGCTTGATGTAAGGCCTGCATTTATTCGTTCGATAGGGACGTCCCTAAAAAGAGCGTCCAGATTTTGAAGGTTGTATGAAAAACACTTTAGGTATGTAGTCACGTTTATTTATTTTTTGAAATAAGGAATTGTTATGCGCAGGAATACCTAGTTTTATTTGTAACTTAATAACACTCTTGGATCAAACATAGTAGAAAAATGTATTCGTGATTTTGCATATCTACCGGGAGAAAGGCTGCAACTCTGAGTATGCACATGGTATCATCCTACTGTGCTGCAAAATACAGGCTACTCAGATTGCAAGTAATAATTTGGCGATAGGTTTCCTTGTTTGTGGTATGTATGTTTAGTGTCGTTGAGGTAGTATTTTTACAAGTGGTAGGAACACGCTCCTGCATTCATCCTTGGTAGTGAACAATGAGAATTAGCCAAAAAGATTATTTATGTGGGTGGTTGTGTGATTTCTAGTAGAGGTGTACTGGATGAGATTTCTAACTATGTATCTAAAACTAAACTGGCATACTCAAATCTGGGTCACCTTTGGCACAGCTGCGACATCAGTGTGATTTTATAAAGTTGCGTATACAACGCCTCATTGTGGGTGACTGTGCTTTGCACTTCAGAGGTTTTGGTATGTGTTACGAATGTCTTCCAACTCCTATATCTTTCAATTTCCCTCAAACTTGGGACTGGTTGAAGGTAAAGACGTGGTCAGTGTAGGATCAAAGATAGCTGTGGGGAATTAGAATCTGTTAGTACTTTGAGAATTCTAGAGTGTGGTGCGAGAAATATATATCAGCTATAGTTCAGAATCAAAATCAATAGCTTTCTTGTTTCTTCTATTATCAAAACATAAAACAAAAGTAACAGACATTCCTATGAATATATTTTTGGAACTATCCCTTTACTTTCCTGCTTATGTTCCTAGTTTCTTCCCGTTGTATCACTGTCTCTTCCTCATTTATTATTATAACTAATTTATGTGGCACCTTTTATGGTACCCAGTCTGTGCAGAATTTATATTTTGGATAAGGAAGTCTGTACTACTTTCTTTGCCATGGCCATCATCACTCTAGATAGCTCCCATATCACGTAACTATTTTTATTGTGTAATCGTTTTATTTATTTCCCCATTAATTAGCTTTCCTTTGTCACTTAATTTATATTGACCCTTGGTCGGAAATTACTCTGGAATGTTTTATCCTTTCTACTATATATTCACGAATGTACAGCTAAATGAATGACTTCGTCGAAAAGAAAATTTTTTCTACACCGCCATCATCTGTTTTTTTTCTTGTGATCAAATGGGTTTGCTTTAATAATTTGAATTTGTGGGATACTTTTTATTTTGTTTTTTAATTTCAATAAATCTTGATTTCCATTTCATAATGTACCTCCTTTATCTTGGTATGTTTTTTCTTCCATTTACAGTGGTCTACATTCAGTTTGTCTGAATTACATACGTTCCTTGGTATATTGAACCGTGAAGAGAATGATTATCGTCGGCGTATAGAAATGAAGTATGAAATACGTAGAAAAGAAATAAAACGTCTTATGGATTTACATGTTAAGGAAATGGAGTCATCAGATACATCAATTAGTGATCCATATAGTTTTTGTGCTTCACATGTAACTACTGTCATTACTGAAGGATATGATAATGAAACAGCTACTGAAGAATTACGTGATAATCCCGATCCTACTACATATTCTTGTATAGATTCGTTGTCTGCTCCGGTTTCACCTACATTGTTTCGTAAAAAGGAGGGACAGTCTCAATTAAAAGGTAACATTCTGTTAAATATATTTCCTTAGTTGATGTAATATTGTTTAACTTCAATTTAGTTTGTGGCGTTAATAAGATAATTAAATAAAGTCTGGATCAGATAAAAGATGTGAGTGTAAATATTGCAAAATGGTGTATACCTATTACAAATACTGTTCAAAGCTTGTTTCAGCGTATTTCAAACTAGACATACAGGCGAACAATGTTGTTTTCAGTTAGCTTCTGTTCAGGCTTTAGTCTAATATAAATAGCAAAGTATATATAAAAACTAAACGAATCATGTAGGTTTGTCGGTTGGTGTATCTACGGTATCATCTCAACGAACCGACAACAATAATCTTCTGTTATAATTTTGTCTAAACACTCACTTGTTTCTGGCCAGGACTGATTTCAAGTATAAGGAGAGACACTGTTTCACATAACGTCCGCCGACACCCAACCATCGATTGGACACAGATTATGTGACTATAAGCCGTCGTTGGAGAGGATTAGTGGAGGATTGCTGCTCTTTTTGGAGTACCAGTTTGGACTCCAATCACGTGTATATCTGTGTCTTACTGATTTCAGGAAACAGGCGATAATAAAGCCTGTCTGTTCTCGATTGGAAGATGAGAACGTGTAATACGTATTTGGGAAAGAGTTAGCTAGACGTTTGTCTGAAAATGGCACCAATGCTCATCCTGAGGAAATCTGGCGCGATACCCGATGTGGTGTAGAAACAACGGTAAAGGTAATTGTTAACCTACATCCAAGGGTTATCAAAAACCAGTAGATTTCCGCAAGATTGATACCAGCTAGCTTTGACTACACTCAAGAGCAGAAGCATTTTTGACATAAACTGAGGAAGGGTTTTCGCAGTGGTTGCGAGCGGTGGTGGGTGGTGAAAGTGAGAGAGAAAGAGAGGCCACCAGCATTAGGGCTATTAAGGACACTGGCAAGAAGTGGGAGACGATTTATGGTAAAATCACCATCGAGAGGAATGAGACACTGGTAACCTTTTAGGGCAGGCGGTCAAAACGTCGGGTAGAACACTTTAAAGCACGTTTCAAATGGTCTGTTGCCAGAACCTGAATGAGACGTAGATGTCAATCTCCCAACTCTGAAGTTGTGAGGGCTATATCCAACCCCGTAACGATGCAAAGCATCAGGACCTGACAGTTTGCCACTCGAAGTTCTTGTGAATGTTGGTAGGAATTTATTGATTGTGTAACAGAGGTACTAGATAATGAATGGGAATCTGGCAGTACCCTTAGACTGGTCTTCTTAACTAACCATTCTAATATATGGGAAAGGAGAGAAATCTTCTTGTAACACTTTGACTAATATCATGTCCAACATCCTAGGATCCATAGTTATCCGACACCCAAGTGAGTTGGTCATTCCAAGTTGCAATTAGTACTGAAATTTGCTTATTATAGTTGGACTTAATCTTACATAATTGTTCCTCTGTGAAAATTTATGCAAGTAAAACTAATATTTCACTTGGAAAATAATCAACATGCTTTCTCCCGTGTATCTGATCTTATATGATGTGAATATCAAGGCTACTTTCAACGAACACCTGTCTAGATGGTTCTAGAAACAGCATGATGTCACTCATCCTAAAGAAGCCTGATACCATATGAAGTCTGCTGTACAAACAGCGTTAAAGACCGTGACTGCTTCTCCGAAAGAGGTTAAACATGGTCAGTGGATGTCGGCGGCTCCTTCTAAATTATAAGATTCACGTTTACGCATTCTACAGACTCCGAGTAGAAGCAACTCAAATGGAGTCTACGCAATGACTGCCAACAGCGGTGGGTAGCAAAAGCTAAGGAGATGGAAAGATCGCAGCGATAGATAATAACAGACAGTTAATCAAACTGGTCACGGAAACTGGAGTGAAAATATCAATGGTTAGTGAGGCTTTAACACCGAAGGATAAGTCTGGAACTCACTCGCATAACAGAGAGCTGGAACTATGGGCAGAACTCTTCGAGGAACAGTTTTACGTAGCCTCCAGCTACTGTTCTGTTGTATCCTATCCAGTCTGATTTTGAGTGAAGCGTTGGGACAGGACTTCCAACTCTTGTGGAAGTTGAAGTCATACGCAATCTGAAACGAGGAAGACCAGAAGAACCAGATGGGTTAATGCTGGAGGTATTGAAGGATGGTGATGGGTGACCGTTGGTCAGACTATCTGAATTGTTAGCTAGCATATGAGAATAGGATGTAATCGCTTCTAACTGGTCGTATCTGGTGACTGTCCCAGTCTTTCTGAAGGTAGAGAAATCCTCTTGTGATAACCTATAAGGAGTCATTTTGACGAACACTGTGTCTACGATTCTTAGTTCTATGGTATCTGGACGTCTGAGTGAATCTCGGGAAGAGGGAACCAGAGGAAACCACGCAGGTTGTAGACTTTGTTTTGGATGCATGTAACGGACCTTTGTTCTTCCCCAGGTCTTTGAACATGAACAGACTTGTCGGTACCGATATTAGCTGTATTCATACACCTGACGGCATCATTTTATTTCGGCGATGTAGAGGTGTTATTACAGTGTCTCGCTGAAAAAAGGGATGGGGTGCTGAGTAAGTTTATCAGCCCGTTGAAGACTGTACCCGAAATCCGTTGACATTAGAGCCTATGGTGAGTTGTTCTGTCAGGTGTGTGCGTTGAGCGGTATCCACTTTCTGCATTCTAATCGAACTTCGTCATAGACGTGCTCATTGAAATTGACTTCTCTCGTCTGACTTTGCAGAGATTGACTTTATCACAAGGGACTATTCAGTAAACCCATTTTACGCAGATGACACAGTCCTGTTAGATGAAAATTTTGACAAGATGCAGTGTTCTGGACACTTTGAGTGCCAATTTTAGAATATTTGGAATAGTTTTCACACCGTCGGAACTAAAGTTGTTTCTTTTGAATTGTTCTTCATGGGTGTACTACGCAGCAGTTCACTTCAATCCAGGTCGTTGAAGGCAGAGAACGCGAGAAAGTTTAAGTTATTTGACACTTATCACTTTATTAGTATAAACGATATGGTTTGGAATCGGTTGCAATAATGCAGATCTATTTTCACATTATCTATGTCATCATCATACAAGAGTTCTTTGTTCTTTCATTTCTTCCTGTTCTATTTTCACAACTTTCTCTTACTTTTGGTTACTTTTTTGCTTATTTTACTACCCTGCATCATATTGCCTACTTCCTTGATGTGTTGATATGAAGCGTTGTAGCTCGTATCGTTACATAGTAATTCCAGGGTCCCTGTCGATACTGAGTGTCTGACATTGGAAAATGTTTTGGTGAGAAAGAAGCGGAGTATTTTAGGAATATCATCCAAAAGTTCGTTTTTTTTTTACTTCAATGTCGTTGGATCGGTTGACTAGAAGCAACGATAGTTTGATTGTTGATAAAGTGTCAGCACTATATTTCTTTACTAGGTTCCACCTATTTCTATGCCTGTTTGACATATTTAAGTTATGGGTTTTTCACTGTGTAAATTTCAACCTAAATGTTAGTCTTATTATTTTCCAAGTTCATATTTCATCGTGAAGAATTCTGTTGGTCCAGTGGGAGTCATCTCGAGGGCTTCCGCATTCAGTACATTTTTCATCTGTATAAACAGCCATCATCCCTCCTATTTAGTGTCAATGGCAATAACACCTAGTCTTATAATGAAAGATTTATTTAAGCCAACCACGTTACAGAGAGTGAAAAAACCACCTGAACATGCATAACCCGTATCATTAGTATTTACCAGTGTATAAGAATCGGTTCTTATCGTTATTTCATACATAAACAAAATGTATATTTTTTATTATTCACAAAACGCTTAATTCGACATTGAGTTGTATTTCTGGTTTAAATTCATTCATTTCATTGCAGTACAAATTATTTAAGAGTTCTAAAATATTGTGATTCACTACAGTACCCATAACATATTTGAAGAAAATGATAATAGTGATGAGGCATTATCCAAAGCTTATCACTTTTCACATCCATATGCACCAACATAAAGTTTGCCTTTAAGATCAATCATGAACACAGCACTGCTTTCGTGTTAATTTATTTGAAGTTAATTTTTTCTTGGCCGATGATAAGCATATCTTGGTTTTTCTTTCTAAAGAAATTTTTAGCTCATCGTTTGCTTCTTGCTTCGTTTAAATAGCAAATTTTCCGTGCATACACATATACTACCTTATAATGCACTGAGACTACATTTCCTAGCTTATCATGTTCCGCTGACGCAGCATTTATTTTAGTTGTTTATAGTTTTATCGAAGATCGTTCTCATCAATATCAGCTGGTGTCAGTCTAACATTATAAAGAATGGCGCTTTCTCAAAAGTTGTTATCCGGAACTCAAATTATTCAGGCTTCAATGAATGCTCTTTTGAACTATAAAGTAACTGTTTGGTTAAAACGTTACAATTAAGCGATGCGGGTTGATCAAAATCTGTTGTTTATTTAGGTGGTGTTAATTTTCTGAAGATAGTGTTTCACTTTTGTCCGTTGTGAAGACATCCAAATTAAGTTCTTTTTCTACACTCTCATTTAGTTTTTACTTAGTCTCTTTTCCTACAGATTTCCTTTATTTCTATATTCCAGGTGTCATTTTAGTTAGGTTTATACTCTCTGTATTCTTAGAATGGTTGATGGTAGAATTGAAGCTATATTAAGCCGATTCCAAGTATTTCATTTCCAAAACTACTGAATCAAATATCTACTTATTCAGCACCTTCTTGTGTATAGGAAATGGTATACCTCGGAGTTATCTTGTGTATTGGATTATTTCTGTTGTTTCTTGCTAACATTTATAGCGCATATAGCTCCTAAATTTTTACTTTTGATCTCAATATAGCTCAAACAAATTATGCTTTTTAGTCAGGCCGTCATTGTCTTCACTGGACATTATGCAGTCCATTATTATCATCCCTTAAATGTGACATTGTCATTTACGCCTTGTATTGAAACCAATGGCTGGTAACTAAATTGACACAATTACGTATTCGGATCACTTGGTTTTGTAGCCAGGTGGTTTTTTTTATCGAGAATTTGTCTCAAGATAGTTTCTCTCTCTAAATTAGTCGATTTTCTAAGCCACGTTTTTAGCTTTTCTCAAAACAATAACTTTCACACCTCTTCGTTTAATGTATCTAGTCAGCTTTGTATTCTAAAGTTATCTGAGATTCTAAGAAAAAGATGATTTCAACGAAGAAATTTTCTCCTCAACAAACTCGTTCTTTTAGTTGTACACTCATGAATATATAATTACAAACGGTAGAACACTCCAGAATAGTAACAGTAATCTTAAGTTAATGACTTCCTGATGTAATAATATGCTGTAGAAAAAGCTAGTAAAGGAAACCGGTGCCAAAGTATTCCCTGTGGTGGCTCTCTTAGTAAAGGGAAAGACAGAAAGATACGGGTAAAATGTTATTAGTGGAACTTCCTGCAAGGTTTCAAAGTAGAGTTATGAAAACGCGCTTTCAAGGAGTTGTAAACATATCAGAACACTAAAGCGTGTTATAATAGAAGTATTCCATGTTTGAGGAGTGATACTTGACACAAGAAGAATCCTATTATTGAACAATCGTGTTTTATTTCTTAATTTTCATATATCTCATGATAAACTGTCTCCCATACTAATGTTGTTGCTTGTATTGTTGAGTCGTTGAGTAGACCGGATTAGTCAGTCTCTGTTGGCGTATGGGGCACCTGCGCGGATGCCTCAACATTAACTGTGTTTCGATTATCTTTTAATGGTTGGTAGTGGCTAGCAGTGGGATCCAGGATACTCTGGAGTGACCGCTCCTGAGTACTAGTGCTAGTGGGAACCTGACTGGAGGGCAGGTATATCCAGCTGACGAGCCCCAAGCAGGACGAAACGCGCATCCTGGATTCCACTTCTAGTCACGGTCCATCATTATCTTGCATACTGTTCAATATTTTCTCACTCTCTTTCTGAATTTATTTCTACTACTCTACTAACTAGAAATTCGTCCAAAACATGATATTTTCTTCCTACTTATTTATGAATGTACGGTTACGAAAATGAATTCCTAATTTAAATAATTCTTTTTGTTTCCAGCACCATTTTGCCTTCTGTATAACGTAAAGGGAGTCTTTATTTGCTTAGATATATGCAATGATATTTTCTGATAGCACGGTTATATATATATATATATATATATATATATCGATTATATTTGTCGGTCAACGCATTCCAGATTGGTCCTGTAAATGTCAAATTTTATTTTTTCGGACTGTACACATTGTATGTAACTATATGTTACAGTCTGTTCCTGTAAACTTTTATAGCGTTTTATCGCATCCTCTCAGCAATACGTCCAAGCAAGGGAAAAGTAGGATAAAATTAGACTGCCTTTTGAGTGAGTATCGGCTAACGTAACTATGAGTTTGTTTTTGTTTTCAAGATGATAAACATCATACTGTCCAGATGAGGCCCACCTCACTGAACTATCAACTTATAACCAGAGGGCCACAGATTCGTATCCTACCCCAGTTAACAAGATTTATGCAGTTAGTTGATGGCATTAGTCATCATATTATGACTTATTACATTGGCCTGTATATGATTGCTGGTTCAACATTTCTGTACTACTGGAAGACTGAATATGTCCATGACCTTTGACCGATGAACTGTCATAGTTTAAATGTTTTGCGTCTGGATGATCTGACTATTCCCATGTTTGTATAGTGTTTGTACTTCTTAGTTTGTGAGCTGAGTGTTAGATATGAAACCGTGTATATCAATCAACTTGTTCTGATGATTGAGTTTTTTATCTCAACTTCATTTAAAACGTCTACAGTATTCTGGCTACGATACGTTTTTATTGTGAATAGTTAACAATAAGAGGTTATCCAAATACCGAAACATATCGAACACTTCACAGAGGAGTTTAGCGTGACCCCTGCGCAAGGTTGACGCACAAAATCTTGAAGCATTCCATATTTTTAGGTGTTTAGATTACTGTTGTATAGTTCATTGTCGACAGTGTGACATGTTACCGAGTGCCTTTCGCTGTAGTACACCTGTTTTAATTGTTATATCTTCACTATTACTCTCACTTTTCATTTCTTCATCTGGACTACAGAGAAATTTTTATTTGGAATCATATACACGTTAGTGTAGCGTTTCCGTTAAATTTCATTGTACCTGTATAATGTCAGGAAATTAGTGAAAGAGAAATATTTAAGTGTTCAAAAGTAAGTCACCGTTTTTTAGAGACAAAAAGAGTAAATACAACTGGACTCAGGCGATTGTCGAACTATATGAACTAATTTCTTTTGAAGCTTATTTTTCATTCTTTGAGATCAACCCCGACCTAAACCCAGTGAAAAACTCAACCTTGACTGACACAAGTTCACTATACCTACATATTGATATATCTTTTTAGCACATACAGCTTATCCATCTCTCACAAGGATGCCTACATCTTAATGCCTGTAGCTTTTGTTTATTGCTTATACTTCGCTACCATGCTTCAAAAACAGCTGAGTAACACTGAATATATGATCTTTGGCGGGCAGTCGGAAAATTCGATATTGGTGGGAATGAATTAACTTGCTTACTATTCATCTTGATAACTAGTAGTGGAATCCAGGACACGTTTTGTCCTGCTTCGGACTTATCAGCCGGACATACCTGCATATCAGTGAGTGGTAGTATTCCCATTGAGACTCGACTCCAGTACCCATCGCTTCGAACTCCAAAGCGTTATCTTCTAGGCTAGTGGGGCACGATGTCCACTTGTGCAATGGATGTCAGTTATTGTTTGTGGATGCTTGTAATTTCCCGTTGTTATCTAGGATTGAATTGTTCGAACTCCGTTGGCAGATGGGCTCCTATGCAGATGCCTAATGGTAATATTGAATGTTCTATGTTTGTACCGGGATGTCAGCATATAATTTGTCTCAAATATTTTGATCGACCAGATGCATAATGAATTAGGTGCTGTTTAGAACTTTGCTACTTATTTTAAGTGTATGTTCATAGGCTTTCTGAAGTTGTAGAAGTTAATTTAAAGTCCATTCCGGCAATTACTGAAGTAACCAATAAGATTTCTTGATCTTATGGAAGGATTATCTATCCATTCAAAATAAACAAACCTGATTGACCATTTTCCCGATTTCTAAGGTGACGCTTAGAGTCACTCAGTTGTAGGCATAAAGTTTTTGTCGGTCTCTACGAATTCTTTTCACATGTTTCTTGTACTTGTTGATGTGCTCATTACAGATGATTATTTTATTCTCATACTCTTAATCAGTTAAGTAAGTTTGTTCTGTTCCGTTCTTTTTCTTTTCGGTCACACTAGTGCTTACTACTTCTTAGTATTCTTTTTTTCTCAATGAATCATACTGTTCAGATCTGCATGTAAGTAGCCGATCCGTAATCACGTTGTTACTTCTATTTTTCTATATTTTACTCTTCGTTTCTTAACCTGCTGTTTATGTCGTTAAAATAGTTATGGCATTTCATACTTACTGCAAGGTCGATGTTACTTCAATCCATGACGTATCTGCAAGTCGAAATGATATATGGTTTTAATAATCGATTACATCAATTCGAAATGCCTGTGAAGTATTTTTTACATATGCACATGCAAATATACATTTTGATTTACTTTCATTCAATGTAACTAAACCAAGTTTTTGAATGTTTTTATATTTTTCTTAGATGAACAATCAAATTATCATGAGGTTTCGAATTCACCAGATTCCGGTTCATCTCCAGAATTAACTCTTCAACACAAAACAATCCGACATAGTCAACTGTCAAATGCTATATCTACATTACCACGTTCACCACCAACTAAAACCTCTGAGATTTCAACACCTAATAAACTTCCTTCCATCTTCAAATCATTCTCTAATTTTAAAGCTAAAAAAGCTGAAATTGCTCAACAGAAACGCTTAGCTAAATTAGAGAAAGCGCGTATCAAAGCAGAACAACAAAAAGAACAAACCAAAAGTCATTCACAGTCAACATGGAGATGGCGTGGATTTGGAACTCTTTCACCTTCCACTTCTGCATCTATATCTCCACCATTACCATCACATCAATAAGCTATATCGATAATCATAAAGATCATGATTCACTTTTTAACAGATTGAATTTTTACCTATTTTTTAACTTTTTTCTTCCATTCATTGTCTTCCAGTTTACTGATGTAAATAGTACATATTATTTCATTTCACCAGTCCTCTCTATCCTTCGCTAACTTCTCTCAGTGAATTTTCGTTTTCGTTAGACTCAAGCGTTCGTCTTCTCTTTTGAGGAACTCTATTACTTTCACAAACACCATAGAGGCCTTACATGAAACTACATCCTACTGTAATGTATAGTGATGATATTCTAGTCTGACTTTTATTTGTTCACAAATTTTTTAAAATCCTAATGTTCACATCAACAGTTCTGTTTTCGCAGGTAATGGTGCACTTATATTAGGCGTATCATATGTAATCCATTATTTTCTGCCTACAATTGATTTTGTATAGTGTTGATTGCAACGTTTCGCGTTTCTTTAGTTGTGTTTGTATATGTATATCCACTGCATACGAGATCCTTTTTGACCGAATGAAGTAGATTTGAAATTCTTTTATTCTTTCATTGTCTGGCATACCATCATGTAGTTTTTCTTTTATCCTTCAGAACTTCCCCTTTATTTTAATGTTCATTTTTAGCATTTGCGCAGCATATTTCAAGTGGTCTTTTCATTATTTCATTGCTTTACTTTGACATTGTTTATGCGGTTGAATAAGTAGATAGGTAAGTGTAGACCTTCAGCTTTTGTTTAGGTAAAATTATGAATTAGGTTATGTAACTAGTTTATCATTTTTTGTCATTTTACCTTAAATCTTTCTGAAAGTAACCCATTAACATCCGAAATGTATATTTATGAATTTTGAGTTTTTTTTATCGATGTTTGATTCAGACATTTTCATGGGATTGTGTGTGGCTTATCGGCTTGTGCACTTGACTTTCAAGCAATAGATTTATAATTCAAATGTCACCTCACCTACTTTAGTTTGGGAAAAAAACCGGTAGTGTCGTAAGTCCCCAAACAACTTGTGGCTCATAGGTTAGTACATAAACGTGAAACGGTTTGAGTAGCGTTATATCATTTATTTGCTCATTTGGTTATATTTTAGCGTTTTGTTGAGAAGTGGGTACTTCCTCATTGCTGCGTAAACATTTAAGTGTCGAAATCTCCTGATGATAAGTTTGAATTCTGCTTTAGGTAGTTCAGTGTGGTTCCCAGCATCCTACATTTACTATTTAGTGCATATGACTTCCTATTTCTGTTTTTTAAGACTATCATTTTCGTTTAAAGTTACATGATTTTAGTCAGTATCTGTTAAAGAAATCCTTATAGTTTCAACACAAACCATGTTTTTTACTGATTGCAGCCCAGTTTACAATTACTGGATCATAACTTTGTGAATATTTTTTGCTAACTGTTAAACTCTTTATTCTATCTAGTAACGTGCCATCGCACTACAGTATCTTTTATGGGGCAAGCAGTTTCTGTTGATCTAGACAGTGATAGCTTCTGAAGGGTGATGTTTTCATCTTTGTGTTGGTTAACTTTAACTCATTTAAATATACGTGTGTTTACTTACACTTAAATAGCTAAAGTTTTTCTCCGTAACTTTCATTGGTAATTGTCTTACGGTTTAGTTCATCACAAGAAGAAAATAACCATTTTGAAGCAAATTATATTGTTTTATGAAGGATGTTTTGTTGTCTAGTTAGGATTTTACGTAGCAGATTAGTTTATGTCCTACGTAGTTGTCACCATTGATACGAATATCACTACATCTATACGTTGACTTTGCCAATCATCCACTGCGCTTTGTGCGTGCCAGTAATGATTTAATGCGACCACGTAGTTCTGCGTTCTGTACGGAGTTTGTTATGCTCAGACCGGTAGAATAACCCTAGATTTGGGGTAAAAGAAAAGAAATTAAACGGTTATTTTGCTTTATTTGCTGAAGAATTGATAAAAAGAGAAAGAGTCGATATTGAGTCATCCGCTCAGCAGCCCATATGCCAATAGAGACGGATGAATTCGGTCCAGTCAACAACGAGATAATACACGTAACAACATATAAACTATACTCGTTGCATAAGAAGTGGGTATCGTAACTAGGTGGCTTAGTGGACAACGGTATGACGTTTGAAGCGATCAGTACCGAATTTGAGTCTTATTGAGAACAATATCGCTAACTGCGGGTTAGGTTCTTCCAGCTGACGTGTCCCAAGTAGGACCGAACACGCGTCCTGGATTCCATTGCTAGCCACTATTCATCATGATTATCAAAACGTGAATAATTCTGTTGTTAACATTAGTTCACATTGAAACCTCAGATAGCGAAATTTAAGATTATTGATTGTGGTTTTAAATACTGTGATAAATAGGTTTCTTTTTTCTTATAGCTTTATGTGAAGAGATTTAAAAATTTCCATAAATGAACCCTTATTCAAAGGTTTATTGAGTCAATACCTGCGTTTTTAGATAGATGGACGTTTTACAGACAAGTTTCTTATATCTGACTTCAAACTAGAGTTCACTATTATGCACTTATAAACGGTGTACTTTCCTCGTCCTAATTTTGCTTTTCAGTATACTCTGAGAACATTACTTCGAATGATTCATAGGTACTTTAAAAGTATGGTACTTTGGAACAGAGATGGTATCCAATACCTCCTTATGTTTCTCATAAATATATACGATGTACTTACTATTTTGATATAACCTTATGGATTGATTTGTAAACGGTGCTTATGTAAACAACTGGTTTATATCTGTGTTGCTGATGTCCAACTTAAATCTTCACTACTAACAAGAGTATATGAGTAATAAAATTGCTGATTCCTATCATCTTTAATTTGATACCCAGATATTTTATATGTATTGGATACTTACTACTTAGTCACGCTTGTATGTTGCTGTCAGTCAGTAGAGCCATATTCACTGGTGTCCTTGTTGCTAAATGAAGTTTGGTTGAAATGGGGTGATACAGAAATCAGCTGATCTCATTTCTAAGGGTCAAGCTGTATTGTTCCGTCTTTCTTATTTTCCAATGATATCAGCTTCTCATTGTCAGGCACATTGCCTAGGAATGGTAAGCGCTGAAAACGGGTGAAACAATCTTGTTTGTTTCTTAGTGTGATATCTGTAGCTGTAGGAGTTGATAAGATGACTACCGGTTTCCAGAACATGATTAACATTCTCAACGAAAGGATTAGTTCAAGTGTTTGCAGAATAATGTTTGCATTGTTTCTAGGATTCTATTTGTCATTATCTCAGCAGATCTTGACATCAATATACTGCGCAAGTTGATGTAAGTGCATAGGCGACACTAACAACTAAAATAACGAATCAAGTTGCAGTATTTCAGCTGGGAAAGCATTTATTTCATAAAATAAACTAATCTAGTTGGTTGTTTCGTTAGGTGCTTTCATGGTCTTTTAAGTCACTAGTAAGTTACATGGAATGGCGGCGTTTGTTTGATCAGCCGGACTGCTCAAAAACCAGATTAGTGGAGAATGTATAGTGAGTCAAAGAATATTTTGTTGTGATTAAAGTATGCAGATAATAACATCGTTTATGCAATCCATAAGGTTTCGATATCCATCTGTTAGTGGAATATGATCGAAATTCAGAAACGTTTATGCAAACTTTTATCAGTTAAGCGCTAACCTCTTACTGTTCGGACCTAAAGGAGAAAAGTCGGTGATTATATATATTTTCTAATTCGCAGATTAAATCGGAGGTTTTAGAAATACTGTAACATATGAAGTAAGATTTATTTGTTTGAAAAAATGTCTGCATTAGATCAATGATAATCACTGTTTTTATATTTGTAATTCCAATAAAGCTATTTACACTAGTAGAAATTCAGTAGAAACAACTTTTTTTTTCATTCACTGGAAAGCATAAATGCCGAAGTAATGAATAAAACATAAAACTTACTGGAATGAAAGTAGGATCGAAACGAGTTATGCGTTTCTCCTTTTCCTGCACCCTTTGAGATACCGTTAAACATGGCATTCTGAAAGGAAGACAGGTTAAAATTTAAAAAAAATCAAGATAAATTATACTTACTATCAGAATTTAACTGTGCAGCAACAAAATTAGAAGTTAAACATTCAAAATGAAGAATGTACAGTTTTATCTGTTACTGGATATTTTTTCGAATACCCTAGTGGTTTCATTGATATCCGAAAATCAGTTCATAAGGATAAGTTTTTTTTGAAAGCAATCTGTGCTCAGTCTTTATTAGAGTTTCATAAATGAATGAGTAGAGTTAGTACATTTTTTCATCTGTCAGTGGTCTTATGAGTGATACATATGCCCCTTAGCTGAAGAAATGAGACATTTCTAACCAATTTTAGTTGCTGTTGTACGTTAAGCATTGTGCTCATTAGAGAAATGCTGTTATAAGATGTTCCGGTAATAACAGCTTCCCATTTGTAATTGTAATTTTGTGTATTGAACCTCATAGATAAAATCAGCTTTAGGGGGACCACTTACTTTTAATTGACATCAATTTAGATATGAGGGTAGTTTTGAAAGAGGTCTCATTCAAATGATGACAGTACGTTTTTTAATTACTGAAGTTATTTTATGTTCTACTCAGCTCGTTTCGGCTTATATTATTGTTGCTGGTTGCTTCGTTTTTTGAAATACCACACTATTTTTTATCTGGCTAGTAACTAAGGAACTCTGAATATTCTAAACAGGTAGTGAGTGAATATTGTAATATGCATTTTCCAACATTACTATCTGCAATAACTTATCCAAGTTACTATGAATATGGATTTTAGATACTTTCTCTTTCTATCATACAGTATAGAAACCTTTCACATTACTATTTAGGGTGGAACACGTGTTGACCTGTGTTAAATAGGTTCAAATTTGTGTTTTACGCCAACTTAGTGTGATTTAAAATGTCACAATTTTTGTATCGCTTACTTGCAATCACCTCTAGTTTTTTACTCTTTGGTTTATAAAAGTCTCAACTGTTCTACTTTTTAATGACACGTGATTATATCGAGGTGTATGAAGCAGAAAAAGTTTTCTTGTTTAAAGTGCGATTGGCGGTGTTGTATGACAACAGTCACGCATACAAAAATAAAAACTGAAGTACTTCTTGTGTTCAAATCCACCGGTAATATGAATTGGTGAAGCAAAACAAACTTAGTCACCATTTGATATTTATTCCTTAGTTGCCATCAGGCTGAAGTTTTGTTGATTCACAATGTGAACTGATGTAGAATATACATAAGTATTCTGGATAAAGCATGCTAAGGAATAAAATGTGTAGGTAGCTTCTATTGGCTAAACCATACTGACTTGATCGTTGAATATCCATTTCGGTCTATTTGGAGCTAATTTTTTGATGAATTTAGACACATGCGTTTCGCGAAAATAATCGATCAGATTATTCACATTAATGGGACTGATGAGAAGTTGTCGCGTCAGTTCAGTCTCAGGAAGCATATGAATTCATTCCAGTTAAAATACACTAGTATACGATTCTTCTGAACTGGGCACTTCCTTGTCGAGATTTGTAAATATTCAACCCAATTCGAGATTTGACTTGTGTAATAAATAAACGAAAATGGCATTCTTCTTTTTACAAAGTAACTTTGATGAGTGGTTGCTTCTTATTTTGATGCATGTTATATCTACTAAGTTTTTTGCTGTATGCGTTTTTAATGACCTGCATTTCTATATGACGAATAATTCAGAGCAATTTAAGGACAAGTGACACTACATCGGTGACCTATTTTAGTAGAAATCTGAAATTAACTCCAGCTGAATTCTGTCCAATGACAGAAAAGTGTTCATGTGTTACAACTGAACTATTCATTTTCTAGGTGAATTTGAAGGTCGCTCAAGAAACTTTTTAATTTCCAAACGTTATGTTAACTACTTTAGGGATAGCAATATCGATTTGATAACACATCTTCTTGCTAAATGAAATTAAGCGGATGATACCAAGTACGTTGTTGATTAGGCAAACTACCTACACTTGCAGTTGTTAAGATGACCTTTATTTTCACTCTATCTGGGATAATTTAATTTTAAAATAACTGATGATACACTTAAACTAAACTGTCAACACAGAAATTAAAATAATTTGTAAAACAGCTGCCATTATTTCGAAAGATGTCGTGTTTACTACTAGTAATCAACCCATAGTAAAGTAAACGATAAAAAGTGATTAAGTAATTCTCCCAGGACTTCAGGTGAATATAGAGAAGACAGAAGTGATGAAGATACCGCACCACCAACAACAACAACAAACTCCAGTCACCATCAACGGGAGAAACTTAAAGGAAGTAACCTCCTTCACCTATCTAGGAAGCACTGTTTCAACTACAGGCGGGACAGACGAGGATGTCAAAGTCAGAATCGGAAAAGCAAGACAGGCGTTCATTAGCCTGAAACTAGTGTGGAGATCTTCTGCACTCCACTCAGCATGTGGAACAAGATCCGGATTTTCAACACCAACGTCAAGTCAGTGCTTCTGTATGGTTCAGAGACTTGGCGCGTCACGAAAGGGATTTCCAATAAACTACAGACATTCATCAACAACTGCTTACGCTCACTACTGAAGATCAGATGGCCAGAAAGAATAAGCAACAAGGAACTCTGGGAACGAACCAACCAAGAACCTATCACGCAACAAATATGCAGGAAGAAGTGGAGATGGATTGGCCATGCACTGAGAAGGCCGACTGGGACATCACGCGTCAGGCCAGTTACTCGAGTGGAATCCCCATGGGGAGCGACGAGTTGGACGTCCAAGGGTGACATGGAGGAGGTCGTGCGAGGAGGAAATGAGAGCTTGTGGGCTGTCGTGGGACCAGGTTCAAAAGATCTCAGAGAACAGAGGTCACTGGAGACGTGCTACTGAAGCCCTGTGTTCCACTAGGAACCCAAGGGACCAATAATAATAATAATAATAATAATAATAATAATAATAATAATAATAATAATAAGTAATTCTCCGGTTTATCAGTCAGTCGTTGGAATCATTCCAAAAACAAGGTGATTTCATATAAAGAATAAACATAAATAATAGGGTTGAAAGCAGCAACTCTTTATTCCTCACGGATGTCTCAGGGATTTACGTAACGTACTGATGATGTTCAGTACTGATTACTTTCAATCTATGCTCATATCGTTATGTAAGGCTTTGGAGTTTTCACTCTTGCTTTGCACGATATCAGTTCTGGATGAAGTATTGTTTGATAAAAAGCTAGGTAAATATTATAAAAATTCACTCACCTCTTTTCTAATTCCTGATATTTTTCATCTATTCTCTCAGATACTTTACGAACATCATTATCATCATCCGCTAGGTCTGCGGAACTATGACGATCCAGAATTAAACGATGTTTTGACATTTTATCATTAATTTCTCTCAGTGAATGACGCATATTTTTGAAACTTTCTGCGCTTGGCAATTCATAATCCAGAATACCTTCTAGACGCTCCTATATTTATGTATTCAAAGTGAATTTTTGTAGTGTAAAAAGTTATTATAAGGATTGAAACAAATATCAAAAAGAATCTGTCAGACAGAGAAATATCACTTAGGTGAGTGAATTTCGAGGTTGTGAAGGTAGGTTTATCGACAAACTGACGTCAGCTAGGAGCACCGTAAGAACAGCTAAGTACCGAACAGCTATCCCATCCTGGTGTAGGAATACTTAACGGTAGGCTATTAGCGTCGTCATGCATTAGATCTCATATGTGCTCACTCAGTGATGAAGGCTATTCAAAAGATATGTTTATCCATAGGGAACCAGTCGTTACTACAGGTAGTTCAATAAAAACGATTAGACTACTAAAATAATTAACTTTCAAAAGAGCATGGTACATTTGTTTTTACTGGCTCTTGTTTAAAATAAAAGAGCTTCAAGTAGTAAATCTGTGTCGAACTGAAACTGGAGTTAATTAGTTTAGTAAACATTTTAATAGAGGACAGATACCCAGCGAATGCTTATATATTCTCAAATATCATATCCTATATAATATCGTTAAAACGTTTTGAAAAATCACATAGCATCACTGAAGCTATATTCTGAAAAGTATCATATGTACTTTGCATATGTGATAATTCGTCTGAGGAAAACTTGGGGAACCTAGTAGTATATCAGTGGGATATTATAGCTATACAGGTGCTGTCCAACGTGAAGTAATATGAGTTGAAGAACCACTGAATACCTACGAGCGCTGAACGGCTGTTTCGTCTTAACAATGGACTCCTCAGAAGTATGGATACATGACTCCACCAGGGACCTACAGGTTTCATTGTGAACGTGTTGATCATTCATCCACTGGACCAGGGTTCAACGGTTCACAGTTTCCTACTTCCTACTTTCCAGCTTTGTTCTTCATACTGAGAGAAACTGCTAATTTCACCCGTTATGGTTTATGGTTGGCTGCTCAATAAGAGTGATGTATCTAATCGAGAAATACTTGATTAGAGTTCGTGTAATTAAATCCGGGACGACTAGTGCCAAGGAATTTGAACGTCTTTTGAATAGGATATTTACTTCACAAAAAGTACGTCAGCATCGTTTTAACTACAGGCGGCACAGGCACAGATGAAGCTGTCAAAGCCAAAGTCAGAAAAGCAACACAGGCCTTCATTAATCTGAAATCAGTGTGGAGATCTACTGCACTCCACTGCAATCAGCATTAAAAGCAAGATCCGGATTTTCAACACCAATGTCAAATCAGTGCTTCTATATGATGTCTGAGAGACTTGGCGCGTTACGAAAAGCATTTCCAACAAACCACAGACATACATCATCAGCAGCTTCCACCTACGCTCGATACTGATACTGAAGATCAGATGGCCAGGATAATCAGAATAAGCAACAAGGAACTCTGGCTGGCAACGAACCAACCAAGAACTGATCGTCCAACAAATATACAGAAGAAGGTGGAGATGGATTGGATTGTGCATACACTGAGAAGACCGATTGGGGGGATCATACAGCACGCCAGGCCGTCGAGTGGAATCCAAGAGGGAAACGACGAGTTGGGCATCCCAGGTGAGGGTGACATGGAGGAGATGATGTGAGGAAGGAACGAAAGCTTGTGGGGGAGCCGTGGGTCGATGTTGGAAAGACTGGAGAGACCAGAGTGAAATGGGGATATGCTACCGAAGCCATATGTTTCACTAGGAACCCACGGAACAAATAATAATGATGGAAAAATTCTGAATTTCAGTTTCGCAACTGAAAGGGTAAATAATAGCACCTTACAGATACGAGCACAAGAGAATCAAGGGGGTGATCTCATTTATGAAGTATGAAGGACACAACATGACTTTGTTCAGCTCAAACATCAGTTGCGTCAAGGTATTGCAAACACCAACTAGTAGCCGAAATACAGTATGCCATTTCTTTCTATCGATCCATGCTAGCAACTAAATCTACAAGTTTTAGTGAAAACAGTCAGAAATCATTCATCGTAAAAGCTTGAAAGTTGAGATAGAATCTTAGAAATTTTGGAGTTCAAGGAAAATCATTCACAAAACAAACACTTAGATACTGATCTACTCTATAAACTGCTTAACCAACAATCATCCATTTAACAAGATAAGAATCAGCTACAAGTTGATCAGTAGAAAGATGTTTTTCGTTAACATGACCTAATAAAATCTAATATCAAGAAGGTCAGCATGTGACATGTAAAGCTTTGCTCAACTCTCATTTCAGTAATTAGTAAGGTCGATAAAATAATAACTTCTTTGCCTTCAGCTGTTTATGGATCAGTTAAGAAAGACTGATTAGATTGGATTACATATAACTGCGGTGAGGGGTTTGATTTATTTCATTTTCTATTGCAGCTGCAAAAGCTAATTCTTATGGTTACTATCACTGTGTAAATTGTTACTAGATCCATCTGGAGATCGAAAAAAGCACGACTTATGTTATTTCAGTTGACTTATTAGATGTATCATATGGTGGAACAGTATTATTCTGCTAGATTCTGTGTAAGATACAATTTACTGTCCATTAACACGTCAAGTTTATGTTATTCATTATGAGACAACTAAAAGTGAATAAAAAATTGAACCATTGTTTTAGACGAATCACTTGATAATCTGTTAACTAAGTTGCTAGACCAAACTTTGATTTTCTGCATAGATTCACTCTTATTCACACAGTTTTCGTGGACATATCAGGTAATCAGTTGACTAAATCTATTCTGTGAAATCTCATAATTTCAACGCGCTTTAGTTGCTTGTTTATTTTATATATATCAACTGTCGCCAATATTATATATATAGGTCGCTTTCATGCTTTCCCTAAAATTCAGCTTATTTTACACTAGGATGACACGAAGTCAGCTTTATGAAAAGCCAATCATGATATGCACGCAATTTTCCTTGACATCTGACTACATAAAGTGGAATAAAAAATCTGACACGCAGTTAGTTTACCCATATCTGTTAGTTTAGCACGTGAGTTATCGATAATCAGAAGATCACCGACTGTGATTAAGTCGTGATTCACATTTTTATTTTTCTTCATTTGTTATAATTATCATCATGTACTTAGAGATTCAGTTTATTTTTGAAGTTTGCGTCAATTTACAGATGGTACTTATCAACGGATGGTTAGTTCATCTATTTGGAGAAACCTTCGAATTACACGAAACATGCACTCAGTCACTTGCACAGTTCGAGTTCTTTTTTCAGCAAGATATTGACTGACATTTTTCTACACTTTATAGTAATACCTACTTTGACAATCTGGTTACTTCTTCGAACCTACTAGTGAATAAGTTTATTCCACTTTGTCAAAGCAATTTTGAACTTTTACTTGTATACTGGAGTTATGAAGTGGAACAATATTTATAGTATACGTACAAGCCTAACTGAACTAATAAGAATTACACATCTCAATCAGAAATGAATAAAAGCCTTCTGCTATAGTATTTTTATGACAATCGTTGTTCATACCTAAAACACATCTAATTTATATTCAATTTTTCAGACATTGCAAATCTTTTGCTGTGATTATAATTTTAGCAAATGTACAAGAATAGTAACTGTAAGAGCTAATATCTGTACATGTCCATTATCTGCATCAAGATCTCCAGGTAAACTGTGTTCATTGCAGAATTTTGAAGGTCAGAAGTGAAATTCTGAAGCTTACTAGACTGCATTGCTCGCCTAGTGGTTTCGACTTTCAATTAAATAAGGTTTCCGTGTTTAATGTTAGGGGTTAGTTTGCAGAAAGCCCTGAACTTAGGCTTCGTGCTGGTTGACACTAATAAGCAAGGAGAATCTGCAACTTTAGGGAAACTGGTGTCCCCTAGGTGTATAAAACCTCCCTCACATAGTGATAAAGTCTGGCACTCTACCACTAGGTCATACAGGTCATAGCTAGATGAAGTACTCAAACTCATGAGTTATAGATAACCAATGTAGATTTCTGGTTTTGAAGTAGTCTTGCTGACATTTGTTAGCGGTTCCAGCTGCTACAATTTAAACTTACCTAATAACAACTGGTTTGAAACGAAAAATAGACGCTCGAATTGAAATTATAAGATTTCCATATCTATCTTTATCTTTCATATATTCTTCTGCATTTTTATGCTTTCGTATCTCATATAATTAGGTATATAGAAACTTCACCAAAATTTCTGAATTCGTTCAATCCTGCCTTCTTTACTAATGTTTCTTTCAATTTTCCATTCAGGAACACTAAGTGTTTCACTAGGTCACCTTATACAAAATAGAGTCAACGTTGGTGTCAAACCACTGAATTTAATAGTTATATTATAATGAACAATTATTATATTATAATAACAAGTTTATGATGGGACTATATGTGCATTATAAAACAGAAACACCTACCTCTACTCGCCTCATTTTTTGTCTTGCAGTTTCCACTGAACTTGGATTTTTCAATATCCCATTACTTGGTGGTAATACATCGACCTGATGCTGTCAATCACACAAAAGACCCGGAATTACAATACGACAAGGTTTTAAACAGCAGTTGTCTTACAAGTGACAATAATTTTGTTTATTGTTACGCAATTATCATTGTCTTTATGAATTTACTTACATCAGATAATACCTTCACCTAAATATCTTATTTATTTCAGCTGTATGAAGAAAGCTAATGAAAGCCAGGAGTCAGAGTTTTGGTAGTAGAATAGTTGCACTTTTCATGAAAGCACATACATTTAAAGTAACTCTTTGGATGACTTGTAAACTCATACTGGAGTTTTACTGTAGATGCAATGATGATCAATCATTGGTTAAGCTACTATGCAGTAAAAAATCATTCATTTCTTGAGATATAATCTATTTGTAAGTAGAACTACTGCGTCGCTGCTTCCAAGTAGTAATTCTTTTAGTTTTGTTTAAAATGTTATTCTTAATTGGAGTATTTTACCGGGGGAAGATGACACATTATCATCCGAGTTTAATAGTGTAAGCATAGAATAAAGCTCAGAAACAACTGTCAGAAGTGATTTTTTGCACTAAGAATTTTCAATTATTTCCTTTCACTAATGAAACTCAGATGTATGTTTTTTGTTTTCGTAACCTTCTTCCATAAAAGCTGTAATTTGTTTCAGCTATATAATCCATCTTCTGAAAGTCAAATAGTCTGTACCTTAGTAATGATAATAGTAATAAGTTATTCATTGTATTTCGAAGAATGTAACTCCATCTTGAAGTTAGCGCTGATAATATCTCAAAAAGCTCCATGAATAAATCACCCAGCCTAGAGAACACAACACAACCAGCATAACAGTTTTCTTCTACACATGGTAGAGTTATCAACAAGATTTTATGGAACAGTGTGAAAAAGTTAGTTGTGTTGATTACGTGAATTATCCGCACAATAATTTACATTGATTCTTGACAATTCAGTAATTTTGTATTTTCTAACAACTCGTGAAAGTTATTCATACATTCAGAACTTTATTAAAGACTATGGTACATTTAACGGAACAAATACAAGTCAGAGGATGATGGACGAATTTTTGACTTGTAGAGAGTTGTAAAAACATAACATGAAACAGAATTTATGCTTTTTTCTGAGATTCTTACCATAGATGGTAGTGTGTACAAGAATATTATAACCACTCAAGCTTTATCTGTAGCGATTTTATTCCCACTAGATTTGAGAAGTAGTCTAGGTTAACGTAATTTACTCTGACAGTGTTTTTTATAATAGACATGGTAAGGATTAATGAGAACTGGATGTTAAATCTTCCTCTCACGTTGACTGCTTCTGCAAAGTGAATTTATCAAGAAAATGAATCCACATGCAGCTAGTGCTGACAAGAATGTTTTCTTGCTAAATGTTATGCCTCAGCCTACCGTCTTTCCATGATTTACAAAGTTGTTTTGTTTTCATTATAGGGTGAACTCCTTTGTGGAAGTACTAGAAAATGGTAAACATTGAATAACCTATGACTTTTGTTGATTCCTCCATAGCACATTTTCACTGTAATTCTATCAAGATACGAATAAGGCTTTTATTAGTAAATGTATACATCATACATCATACTCTGTTTTACGTTTCTTTATTTTAATCAATCACCAGTCACTCTCACCATCTAAAACATTTAGCATTGAGTAGTAGTTGAAATTACCGCTTTCCTGAACTAAGTCAAAAATGATTGTCCATACAACTTTCATGATTTATAGCTTCTGAATAATGCCTTTACTTTGAGATGAGATCAGTTGAAAGATTACTAAAAGCCAAAACTTAGTGGCGCGAAGTATTATTTATGTGGGCCCATTCGTATTAGAAATGTCCATAGAAATAAAACGTATTACTTATAATAAAAAAAATGCAATGTAAATTGTGTATTTGTTATTAAAATGTTGTTTGCTTTTGAACTTTATATCCTATTATTACAGAATATTATGATTATGATTATTATTTTTCCCTTGAGTTCCTAGTGGAACATAGGGCTCCAGTAGCATATCCCCATTTCACTCTGGTCTCTCCAGTCTTTCCAACATCGACCCACGACTCCCCCACAAGCTTTCGTTCCTTCCTCACATCATCTCCTCCATGTCACCCTCACCTGGGATGCCCAACTCGTCGTTTCCCTCTTGGATTCCACTCGACGGCCTGGCGTGCTGTATGATCCCCCCAATCGGTCTTCTCAGTGTATGCACAATCCAATCCATCTCCACCTTCTTCTGTATATTTGTTGGACGATCAGTTCTTGGTTGGTTCGTTGCCATCCAGAGTTCCTTGTTGCTTATTCTGATTATCCTGGCCATCTGATCTTCAGTATCAGTATCGAGCGTAGGTGGAAGCTGCTGATGATGTATGTCTGTGGTTTGTTGGAAATGCTTTTCGTAACGCGCCAAGTCTCTCAGACATCATATAGAAGCACTGATTTGACATTGGTGTTGAAAATCCGGATCTTGCTTTTAATGCTGATTGCAGTGGAGTGCAGTAGATCTCCACACTGATTTCAGATTAATGAAGGCCTGTGTTGCTTTTCTGACTTTGGCTTTGACAGCTTCATCTGTGCCTGTGCCGCCTGTAGTTAAAACGATGCTGCCTTATCTAGGTAGGTGAAAGAGTCTACTTCCTTTAGGTTTCTCCCATTGATGGTGACTGGTGCATGTTGTTGGTTGGGTATCTCGATCATCTCTGTCTTCTCTACATTCACTTGAAGTCCTGTTTTCTCTGCCTTGCCTCTTCTATCTACTTGTTAGTTTTCGCCTGTAGATCTTCGAGTTTGTGCGACATTAATTCCACAACATAAATGTCAATATTTTGAATGTGCCTACTAGTTATTGAATCTTAAACTGCAAACTAATGCCATTGAATAGGTCGTTGTCATCTCTTTTTTCAACAGTCATTCTGTATGCGGGGACAGCCTAATCAACCCAGTTGTAGAGTTTCTTTTTGGCGTAAAAATATGATAATAATTGGCAAATGATTTAGAAATTGCTCGGTCTACGGTAAAATTTCAACTGTGGTATCCACAAGATATTTTCCTGAAAACTACTCAGCTGAGATCATAAGGTATGATCTCTGAAACAAAGTGTCATAAACTAGCAAAATATACTACTACTCGTCTAGTTCAGTAGTAACATCTTTCTTTTTAGAACTTGATCAGTACTTCAGATCAACATTTTTCAAAATTTGACATATGATCATGAAATTGTTCAAGAAGTGAGGCATACACTCAAAATATTTATCTGATTAAAAGGTTATTGGGCTGCATGTATGAAGAATACTTTTCTTAAACACATGTATTGATATGACATGAGTATTCCTTACATCTTTGTGAAATAATTGATGAAAAATCCGAATGGAATCAAGACTGAAATTTGATAGGAAGTAATTTGATAAGATGCAGCATAATATACCTTTATGATATAGATGGGCAGGACTATTTTAATCGGAGTTAATGGTCTTTCATACTGCAGATTAATGATAGTCAGTTAATAACTGAGGTACTCAAAGAGATTGATAATCTCAAGTTGTGGATGAACAGCTGTAAGGAACACAAATTCTGAGTTCAACTAATAACTGGTGAACAAACCTGGTTGCCATGATTTAGTTGTCTGTCTAGTGGATAAACTACAGTGGTTTGAAGTGATGGGTACTTGCTTTCACCAATAATGGGATTATGAGGACCCAGATTAATAAAGGTTTATTCAGCTGAAGACTGTTACATTAAACTACCAATCTTTTTTTCACATTCCTCTGTTGATCACTAACAAATATACAATCACAACTACTGTCATCTTCTTTCGACAGGAGACTCATTTAGTTTTATTATTTATTCTTTGTAAAAGATGATGGAGTTACAATAATTTAATAAATGGTTACAGATATAGTCCGATAAGACTAACTTTTCAACCAAAGAACTTTAGTGGCCTTTTTCGATAAAGATGGTAGCAAAGTGCAACAATGACTTTTGGCCCACCTGAAAATAAGCACAGATTTACAGCCTTCAAGTCTCATAAGAATAAAATAAATTGATAGCTTATTTCTAAATTGGTGTTATACAGAAAACTAACTACACCGATTTCTTTCAAAAGCTTTAAAAACAAGTTGTATTATTTACCACGCTGACGCTTTAAACCAGTTTTATTTTAACATGAAAGAAAATGACAGGACAGTAATCTGATTAATGAGTAACTTTTTTCTTTTATAAATACATAGTAGTCTAGTAACATTTATGACTGTAGCCATAAAATATAAGTCATGAAATTCCAAGCTAGAACTCACAAACGTCTGGGATATTTGTTTTTTAGCGTCTACATTGTTGGGCATAGCAACACCATGCATGCTGAATATTTGTGTTTTATGTTATGCAGTAAATATTGTTGCTTTCCAAAAAAAACATTACAGCACAAACGAATAAAGTAAGAAAGCAGATTGGATATTTGGTGTCTAGAAAAATTGGCAATCTTCTATTTCTGATCACTATAATATATTCATAGAACTAATAATATTTTTTTGAGTATGAACCATTTCCCCCCCCCCTTAATGCTCAGTCCCACCCTACATACCTTTGGTTGAAATTTTCAACAGCTTGGAGTGGCTTTGCTATGCACTTCTTACCTTAAGCAAATCTTATCGGTTAGAAAATAACTGAAACTAGTGAAGGGAAAGTTATTGCAAGCTGTCAGCTTGATTCATAAGTTGGCTATCATCTACACAAAACGTGTATTAGTATACCGACCAGAGCAGTAATGTGTGGTTTGAGGTGCTAAAGAAGATGTGTAGCTCAGGATGACCGGAATAATCATCTGGTCTTTTCCATGCCTTAAGGTATGTTCTTGAGCGTTTCATCACCGGACTCGATGACTTCCTCAGTATTAACTTCACATAGCTTATTCAATTGTCGTCATTGTTGTCGTCTAAGGAGTACTTACTGCATGTTATTGGTAATGCTGTTCATATCTCAAGGCCAATATTTTGTTGTAGTGATAATTGTGAACACAAATTATTAATACATACAGGCAAGTACATGGTCTCAATTAATATCTGCTGGGAGAATACAATATGCGTGACAACATCGAAAATTATTATTGATTTTTGATCCAGTGACCTAGAGGATAACACTAGTGTTTGGTACGATTGATCCTGGATTCTAATCTTAATGGAAACACCATCATTCACTGGGAGGAGGTACCTACATCTGACGAGTCCCAAATAGTGCGAAATTGCGTCCTGGATTCCACTGCTAGCCTCTATCCATAGTTAATATCAAAACTAAAAAGTACCGACAATATCAGGACATCCACACACGAGCCTATCTGCGAATAGTGCCTGATCAATTTAATCCATTCATAGACAGAGATTTACAAACTATAACATAGTAATCGGAAATTATTCCGACGGATTTAGCTAGTTTAATTGTGTAGCTCAATAATAAACAGAATTAACTATCGAATTTGACACGCAGCTCTGATTCGGGCTCATCATCTGGTACGTTAACCAATTTCATGTAATAAATAAGCAAATTTTATTTAAAGCAGATTTAGGCAGATGTCGGATTATAAATAACAGTGGTACGTTCCACGTGCAATCTAGAAGAAAAAGTGAAATCACAAAACTACAAAAACTACTGCACTGGAATCCCATAATTAACATGCATTCAGTGATGAATACACATAAAAAACATACAATAGCAAGCAAGTACCTAAAAACTACTTGCTCACACTTATATACTCTTTTGATCTCAGTCTACAGCCATTAATATACCTTTGTCGCTCCTAAATAAATGGGATTTTTACAAGTGAATTTGAGAATAATAGAACAAAATTGAGTAAGGAATAAAATTACAGCCAGTTTGGTTGATTATACACTTTTGGATTTATAATTGAATACGCTCGATAATGAAGATCATATGGTCAGAAAGAATAAGCACCAGGGAACTCTGGTTGGCAACGAACCAACCAAGAACCGATCGTCCAACAAATATACAGAAGAAGGTGGAGATGGATTGGATTGTGCATACACTGAGAAGACCGATTGGGGACATCATACAGCACGCCAGGCCGTCGAGTGGAATCCAAGAGGGAAACGACGAGTTGGGCATCCCAGGTGAGGGTGACATGGAGGAGATGATGTGAGGAAGGAACGAAAGCTTGTGGGGGAGTCGTGGGTCGATGTTGGAAGGACTGGGGAGACCAGAGTGAAATGAGGATATGCTACCGGAGCCCTATGTTCCACTAGGAACCCAAGGGAAAAGTAGTATTAGTACCATGTTAATTCACTGATGTCATGATTGAACGAAGTGTAGATTCAAACGATAGACATATGAAACGTGACATCACTCCTAACTTGCTGACCGCCTTACAGAATGAATGATAGGATCTGGTTAATAATTAGAACTAGACAACATGAACTTGATTACTCTCTAGTGACTATTTTCTGATAATCAATATCTAACATCCTCTCATCGTGCTACAAATGTTCTTTTCGCCTAATGTTAGTTTTCATATTGTTGACTGTCGTTAACTTCACACACCAAACACTATATAGATGCAAATCAAGTTGAAAACAACGATATCATTTCAGAATAGTTTCATGAGTTTATTTACTTGCTAATCAGATTCGAAGGTGGTCTTTGTAGAGAAATGATTAACGTCATAGGCCACTCTGATTAACACTGAAGGAGCCCTTTTGGTTTTTGTATTTACATAACAAACAACCTTGTGAGCAAGAATACGCAAATCTGGTTGATTATTATTATTATTTCTTGCTACTTGTAATTTACTGTCATTATGATAGTTCGAATTGACTAATATCTGTTGGAATATTGGCTCCTATGCGAATGACTTGATATTACCTGAATATTTGTTGCTCCAGTTCACATTTATTTTCCGATAACGCTTTGTCGTTTGAAGTGATGAGTACGAGGTTCGAGCCTTAATGGGAACTAAATCATTCACTGAGGTGCAAGTACATCCAGCTGACCAGTTCTAAATTGGATGAAACGCACATCTTGGATTCCATGTACAAGTGAATTATAACTTATTGGTTATTTTGCGTGGTTTCTAGGATGGCCTTTATTATCAGTCGTGAGAGGGCATTGCCTTTTCAAGTAATAACCATTTTTAATTCAGTGTATTAAAAAACTGGTTCTTTAATTCAAACGATATTTATGACCTACTTATGATTATTAAGCTGTTCGTAGTTGGAAGTAGTTTTTTGTAACTGTTTTTCTGTCTATCCCGGTTATTTAATTATCTGAAAACATGGAAATGAATTACTTTGTTTCGTTTCAAAAAAATTTGATCTTTGATGAGTCGAATAGATAAAATAATGCCTGTTAAGTGTTTTATGACACATACCTTTGAAACAAACACCTACAAACAATAATCATTTTTTAAGCTTTGGCAATATTTCGAACAAATTTACTGCATGTGACTACACCAACAGTTAAAATTTTCGCAACTATTTCAACTATTCATGTAATGATAGGCAGTAAATTTGCTCGGAGTGTAGTCGAAATTAGAAAAGTTCATCATTTTATGCGTACATTCACTTAAATGTAATGTATGACGTAATGATTCATTCTGTAAAGCAAAAACTCTTCATGGATATGATTGAGAATAACATTAGTAATACAATGTTCAACAAGATAGATAACAAAATGTATTGAATGTCATCAAAATCTAAACTTTCAAAAGTAAATGAGTGATCACTGAAATTTAAATTTCGCTTCTATGTTAAAATATTTGTTATCTCACTTCTTGCATATAGTCATGCATTCAACTTATGGACTTCTAGTTTTATGAAAATTCAAACTACTTGAAAGTAGTATAATTCTCTCAGCATAATTTACAAACGTTTCGGAATGTATTGTTCAAATGGTTCTTAGTGGTTTTATCTAAACGATATAACAATTTAAATACTCCTGACGTCTGGGAAAATTTATTTAGAACACTTTCTTAAGATAAATGCACTTACTAGAGTGTGCAGAAGTAGCGATTTTTAGTTTGATTTCGTGAGGAAACTGGGACCTAGAGGTTGTACTGCAGCTTCATGCATCCACGATATCAGCTCGCAGAACAACTAAATGGCATCACAATTTCATCTGTCAGAGCTTTCGGTTAAGAATCGGCCTAAAAATTTACTTACCGTCAAAAGTGTATCATTACTACTATTTCTCAGAATTGTGGCCTTTTCTTCTCTATTATTTAGACAACTATCACATTTGTAAGACTGGAGGTAATGTTTATTCAACAGATTTGAGAGTTATGTATGCCGAAGTATTTCACACAAAACGGTGACAGATTGAATGAAGGTAGGAGCACAATAAGGCGAAACTTTTTGGTTGGATGTTTCGCTATTATAAGTAAATTGGTATTATTAGGGAATAGTGAAGTGGCTAGTAAGCATAGATTTGGATATAATTCAACAACTTCTTGATTACCCTTTAAATGACCCCCTAACTCAATATCCGTTCATTATCACTTTAGTTACCTAGTTTCCCTATCAGACTTAACTATCACCGTCACTGAATATGAAAATCAGTTCAAAAACCAAGAATATCTCGGTGAGCTTATTTGTGAATTAACTGATTTCTGAAATATTTGGTTAGTTTCAAACTTTACCCTTTTTTTGGAACTTGACACTGAGTAAAAAAAAATAGTTAACTCGTGCAAAAAAGTACTGAATAACTTACGTGGCCATTCGATATATGTTCATCCGTTTGGAGTTTTGTTGATCTATCTCCATTTCGAACATCTATGTGTCTACTACAAGAACCTCTTCTCACATTAAGTTGCGTTCTAGGCAAATAAAATGGTGACCTCTCAGAGTTTCTCTAAATATTTAATAAAATGAATGACTAATTAAAACAATTCAGTAAAAATATCGAACAAAAAGTGTAGTAAAAGTTGTGTACCTTTGTGAACTCATACAACCCTAGGTGCATTTTCAAACTGTGGTAAATGAATATGAAATAAAACTGGCCACTTTAATAGAATGCAATTCTTTTTTATTGGTTTATTAGATATATAACACAATGAATTATTCACTCGTAAAATACATCAGGAGAACTTTGAGTAAACTATGTGATGTCACCTAAGTTGATGAACTAATATGTCTGTGGAGTAGTTTGACAAGTGAATTTGAGGTCGAACCTAATACGTTGAAAGACACCAACCAGTAATCTGTGTACTACCATCTCACTGTCTTACAGAATCAGTTATGATACCAAATTGTTTTTTATGCTTTTCTTTCAGTTACATTTGACCTGAGGAAAGAAAACCGACACTGGCAGCTTGAGCTATGAGGAGCCAATAGTAAAACTTCTCTAATTCACATAGCAAACTTAAACTTGGCTCAGGTCTTGTAGTTAATGGATAGTGGAATTCAGTCAGTAATTCATAAACTTTTAATTCAAATCCTGCAGCTACATTTGTTTTCATTCAGTCTCCATTATCTACCGCATGAATATCGATCCAAAGTTTCCGTCTTTGAGGGAAAACCTGCCTAAGGGATCATAGAGATTGAATTTACTCTTGTGCTTAATAAAAAGGAGTGTTTTTTTAATCTGCCTCTTTCAGTATGACGAAACGTATGCTACATTCATCCCCTGCCCTTTCAGGATAAACCTTATTTCCGTAAACTCCTAAATTCGCTTGTGTACAGACAAATATCTATAACAAGAATGAACTTACTATGAAAAAGACTTCAGAAACACATTAAATATATCAATTTTTCGGTCAACAAACTTCTACTAGCACTGAGGACTAAATGGATATCATATAACATTAATTATTTCGTTTTTCATTGATATTGGTGATGACTTTCACAAGAGATATGATTTAGTTTAAATTGTTGTCTTGGTACTTAGTGAGCAATGTAAAGTTATTCAGCCTGACTGAAATCTCCTTGAAAAGAATGCGGTATGTAAATACCAGGTTTACGAAATAGGTAATTTGTATTGCTTCGTCATGGGGGAGCAACCAATTTCATATTGTCTACTCCTGAGTGCAGACCAAATTCTAACGATCATATTTGCAATATGGCCACCAAGCTAGGAGGCTCAGCATCGCGGTGCACATTGGTAGATGTTAGTTAGTTGGAGGTACTCAGAAGGAAGCCTTGGTCCAATGTGTATTGCGATGCTGAGCCTCCTAGCTTGATGGCCGCATTGCAAATATGATCAATAGAATTCGATCTATACTCAGGACTAGACAACATGAAATTGGTTGTTCCCCCGTGACTAATCAATAAATGTATTCCACTTCTACAAAGGGTCAATTGCGGCCTGAATAGTTAATTGGTAACGTCACTGACTGCTCAGGCAAGATATCAGTCCTGTTGAGGTTGCAAATACACCTTGTTGACAAGTGCCAACAAGCATAAAACCTAGGTCCAGGGCTTCTTTCCAATTGCCTCTAACCTGATGACACAAAGGTAGTTTACTTTTTATGCAGAATAGTCCGAACCCGTATACTGACCCTTGTCTAATGACGTGCATGAAATGGTTATTGGTAGCATTGAAGAAGTTTCGAGATAAGAAACTTGGTGCCAGGATCCTGCTGAATTCGGCAGATATGAAACTATGAATTATTTTTGGCATTGGGATCTCCATGATCATTTGTGGTGTGATGCGTAAGAAATTTGTGCTGCATATTATGTACTGCGCTGTTATATACTTTTGAAGAACAGTTGGTAGCGAAAACAGTGAGAGTTGCTGAATAGATGTTTTAGTCTTAAGCCAGTTTAACAAATAACCCTCATAGTACTTCTAAATAAACACTGAGAGTGCGAATGAAAACCATAATTTCATGGAGATTTTAGCATTTCAAAACGTTTCATCAGAAAATTTAGATAGCCAGTATAGAAATATATTGAAAAGTGAATATTCGACTTTGTCAATTATTATAAATTCACTCAGTGCACACTCCATAGCAATCTAAAATAAGTTAAAACTGTTGAGTTTTTTTATTTTCAAAATGTATCGTGAAAATATTGGCGGTTTACGCCGTTATATTGTTTCTAGGACAATACAATTATGAGTAGAGCTAGTATATTGTTTTTTACGACATGGTCTAAAGCGAGAATGGATTGTTTCCTAACAGGCAGTGGGATTGGTTAACCATCATCAGCTAGCGATACTAAGCGGGTGTATTTACGAAGATAGGTTGGTTATAGGAGTAAAAATTGGGTACTCTGGTCGATTATAATTCCATTTTAGTCCGTTTATTAGAAATGTCACGAAGTGAAACAGTATCATTTGCTGGATAACGTTTCACTTTGTGACATTTCTAATAGATAGATTAAAATAGGTTAATTATACTGAATAATGTGAGAGTAGAGTCTTCAAATACCTAAACATAGTAAAACTGCTTGTCTAAATGACAAAAATATGAGTTAGAAGTTGATTTACTCCGAAATTCATATTTCCATAGGTTCGTACTTCATAAAGGTGAATCTGAAAAGAGATTATATACAGTAGTTCCATATATATAAGCAGAGTATACTGCAGGCTGTTGTCTCTTGACATGAAAGAACTGACTCTATGAGGAATGTTCACAGACAAAAGGGGTTGCTTAATCACGTGAAAATACTATGTTGGCAAAATGATAAGTGGGTGACGTAAAACTATCGTATTAATAAATGTGGTAATGATGAAACCCTTATCAATCTGAATATGGATGCGAATAGGAAAACTGGACATTATTTACCAATATTGAGAACGGAAATGAAGCGTCTTATACTTTTATGCACTGGAAATGTTCATTTCTAGTATAACGGCACCATATATAATCAAGTTGACGATGTAGCTATGGGAAGTCTGCTAGGTCTAGTAATGGCGGACGTCTTCATGTCACACTTAGAAAACACTACCCTACAACCTGCAGCCGATGAAACCATGCCTTATTTAAGATGTGTTTATGATGTGCGTATTATCTCTGAGGACGGTCAACAAGCAAGAAAGGTGCTTCAACGTTTCGTAAATGCACATCATAGTATTAAGTTTACGATGGACTGCGAAGAGAAGCAGGAGCTGAATTTTCTCGATTTATGCTCCCGGCGTAATGAAGACGGTACAATAGAAAGGAGCATTCCTAGCGAAACTTTAGCACCTTCCACCCAATCAGCTAAAAGACAGGTTTAGGGAGGACGTTATGCCAGAGGGAAGAGAGATTATGTTCAAGAAAAACTGCAAGAAGGATTTTAACTAACTGAATAGTGTCTAAACAATAATGGTTATACGATGAAGTTTGTTCAGAAGTACTGTAATAGCAAGGAGAATACAGCGGGATACATTACTGTTGAAAAGAAGCCAGTATTTCTTTGCCGTCCACGCAAGGTGATGTTGCGACGAATTAGGAGTGTGCTGTCCAGGACTTATCCGGGTGCAGGACTTGTCTCACCATACCAAACAACATGTGCAATTACTCAATCTGGATTGGATAAAGTTCCAACTCTCGTTAACACGAACTGTTTTTAGCAATCCACATATACATGCGGTAACAAGTAAATAGTAATAACAGAGAGGCGGCTGTCTATCAGGACTGCCAAGTACATGCCAAATGGGTCTACGCCTCAGAGATTCATCCTCACTTAACAGTGCAATAGCTCGTCACTTATGTGATACAGAACATCAAGTAGATTTGATGAAACCCTTTATGGTAGTCAACAGACAAAAGACGTTGTGCCTACTTCGAATTGCTGAAACCGTCAAAATCTAACAAGTTCAACCAAGACTGTATTCAGAAGGAGATATTTCTGATGCATTTGTTTGGTGCTTATTTAGATCCATATTCATAATGATAAGCGTTTCAATATTACCGTGTTTTTTATTATTACGACTGTTTTGTCTCACTTACTTATCATTTTACAAACATAATATTTTCACATGATAACACAACCCCTTCTACTGACAATTATTAATAGTTAGGGTCATTCCTTGAAGTATCAGCAGTAATTTCTTTGAGAATTCACACCTATATAACTAGTATGATGCAAAGATGTTATGTTCTTTGAGTTGGATAGATTAATCGCAAAGCCTTCGTTCTCATTTTTCCTGCTTTGAGGAGTTATCTTAGATTCTTGATGGTGTGACAGCCAAACGTTGGAATGGAAGTTATCTAGAATGTCTAGAATGATAATGAAAACTTCACGATTAAGCCATTCAGTTCAAAGAACACAACATCAAAACAAAAATATAGTTGAATTTCAAGGTAAATAAAACGAGAATAGATGGTAATTTTACTGAACTCACTAATATATCATCAATATAATCTAGTGTTTGTTGATCTCTTTGCAGAGCTCGTTGTCTAGCTTCGTCATATTCATTTAGAACAGTATCAGATGCTTTGCGTGCAATTTGTCGTACATCTGTTGTAATCACGTTTTCCACTAAGAGGAAAAAAGAAAGAAAGAAAAAGTTGAAAATTACTAGGGTATTTAGATTGTTATTCAAATCCGCTGAAATGCTCCAGATGTATGCACTTTCATTTTTAGTGTGTGTGATGATTTCACAAACAGCTTCTCGATTTCTACATTGAAAATGATTGAGAAACTTTCATCTTATCCACCACTTATGAAAACGTACCGTTGTATTATTCATATCTCGCATTTGAGCACAGAAATATAAGTATTCGTAGATTATTTTAGTCAGCTAAGGGAAAGAGATATAAAGACGTAAATCTCTACTTCCATCTGAGGGAGAGTGTCTGGGGAAACTAATACTCTCTGTATTGGGAGAAATTACTTTCAAGATAGACGAAATATAAGTCTCTTATATATGTGCATCAAAAGGCAAGAAAAATGAACTATGCAGCAGTTGAAAACTTACCGTTCTACATTGATTTATTTTGGCATTTACATTCCCCAATGAGTGAAAAGCAAAACAAGGTTGTTTTTAGCGAAAATTCCCTCTTTTTACTTTTCATTCATCGAGAAATTCTAATATCAAAACAATATATAACATTTACTGATATCCAAATTCTTTCTTTCAAACCGTCAAATCCCATCTTGGTTTGGATAACTTAATGCCCTATTATAACTTCAAATCACTTAGTTCAGGACACAAAAACATTTGCTGACTTCAAACAGTATTTATGACATCTTTTTGCGGCCTCCTACAATTTATAATAAAGATATTTGGAAAATATAAAGTTCGGTAATCTAATAATTCTAAATTGGTATTCTCCATGGACTGACATCAGGTAGAGAAACATTTGAAACCTTAAAATATTGGATAGGAGTTTCATCCTAGTATGAGACTCCTCAATAGTGCGCACCAGTGACCCCGACAGGGATTGACCTTCGACCCTCTAGGTTCCCCGGATAGCACGTCACCATTGAGTCACCGGGTTGAAATTCATTGGTTCGTGTTTCCTGCTTCTGTTAGTTCACGATTTAGCACGGCCTCCATCCAATGCCATCGTTGAGTATGTGTCCCCATATCCGATTTGGTTGACCCATTCTGGGAAGAAACAGCTGTTCAGTGCTTACGGGTTTTCGATGTTTCTCCATCTGATCTCAGTGCATGATGAATACCAACTTGAAATCATCTAATTAATTCCTACAAACCTTCAAATTGAATAATCTGATGATTGTCAGATTTTAACATCAATGTAAGAAACAGGATTAGGAATACTAATTTCTTTTGTGGAGAAATTCTGAGTGAAAAAAGAATTATATTTCCTGTATGCCAATGTAAAGCTAGGGTATTGCTGTAAAAATCATTTTTAAAGCAGTTCAGTTCACTTAAATGCCACCAAGACGAGTCAATAACTGAAAGGAGAAGGTGGAGGCAGAATAATTGAACGAAAGTTAAACGGAAAAGATGGAATTCTTATTTACTTAAAGTAACCCTTAACAGCCAGACCATTACATCTTACCCTTATGTTAAAAATAATCAGAGAATTTCTACTACCTTCCACCTTATCTCTGTTACTTTGTAAAATGTGAATCAATCAATAGAATTACATGAAAAGACGAAACAGGTAGAGCTTGCAAAATGATATTTGAGAAGTGAGAAATTTGTTACTTCAGAAACTGATCATTTTATTTCTCTTCAGTAGATCAACAAAGAGGTTGAAAGTTAAATGACATCTTACATCTCTTATATAAGCGTAAATCAAACTAAAATTTGAGTATTTTATTCTGTGAATGTCTTTATTTCTAGTTTATTCAAATAATGAGTTTCATTTGAAACATTATAAATTTTAAGGTAGATGAAATTAGAGACTACCCTAGCAACGACTTGAATAACCAATTAGTTTTCTCTATTTCAATTAGAAAGGGGGATTTTTATTCAATAAATTAGTCTAATTGGTTATTTCAGTCGTTGTTTTTGTTGGGATAGGGTTTAGAGTAACTCTAAAATTCTTTGCACTTAAAGCAATCTTAGAATCTTCACACTTATGTACCATAACTAGTAAGAGATAAGTCAGCAACGATTCGGTCTGTTTGCTAGTGAAAAAATCTGTAAAATAGCAGATGAAGTGTAATAAACTTGCTCATGTTCGACATTTGACCAACCAATCAGACGTAAAACTTTAGGAACATTCAGAAATAAATAAGACAGTTAGCATGTAACAGTTGTAGGAAAAAAGGTTTGTAGTGCAAAGTTATCACCCTTTAATCTACAGAATGCTGTACATGTTTAACGTTCTTATTTTGTGTATGCCAGTTTTTATACGGCAAATTACTCAGTAGGAAAGTATATACACTAGAAGTGAATTGTATACGCATACAAAACTAAGGTTGACTTAATGATATCAATACTAGTTTATCCCTGCTCCTGGAAACTGTTATAGAATTAGGGTTCATTCATCAAATACAAAATTAGTTTCCTCTAGGTCATATGTTTCCTGTGAATAACTTCTATCTTATAAATAGTGAGATGATAAAAGGCTGATAACGGAATCGAGATTTCATTCTATATAAGCAAACATACAGTAGGCGCTAGTTTGTACTGCGAAAAGATCCTAAGAATACAACCATCACATGCATTCGGGAATTACAAACTTTCTTTCCCACATTTAGGTCATTTTCAAGAAGGTAGTGAGCATAATCTGTCTCAAGAATTTTACTATTTAACTGTATTGCTAAATCTAGTAGGTATTGCTTCAACTTTCATTGACAGACAAAATTTTATGCATATATAGGATAGGTCAAATGAAAAAACGTCTGTTGACAAGCAGCTCTGGACCGAGGTTTGCTGCTTTTTGGAAGTTACCGGCGAGGTGCTTCTGCAACCGTTTGATAATATTTGATCTCTCAATGGATTGAATGTAACTCAGTGCCACTAGACTGTTCAAGGGAGAACTGGCCCTATGGAGGGCTGTATATGTGTGACATGTATATGATATAGCTGACTAGTCATTAGTTCATAGTATTGCGTAGCCTAATGATTAAGTCTCTGACTTCAGAATTTAGTGAAGCAGGTGTCTCATGGTAACAGAAACGTCTTGCTGTAGAGTACTAACAAGGAACGAAAACTGGGTCCGAGGTGTTCCACCGATTGATTCCCATCACCTAAAACCGAAATACAGTCAGGCATATTGTTATGTCACTTTGTTTATTAGCTAGATTGCAAAACTTGATCGATAGACCTTGACCTGTGCTTAGCCCTAAGGACTTGACAGCTGCGTCAGTTACCCACTGATAGCCAATTTGTATATGCACAGTTTACTTATAAAATCTTCTACAGGTAAATATACTTTGGCAGTTTTATTCCTCAAATCTTAAGAAAAAATAAGACATCGAAACTTAACGTAAAACATGATTGTGAAACTGCAGAATAAGATATATGTTCAACTGTTCATCAAGGTTTTCGCTTATTTGTACATTTATTCTTGGTGAAAATTAATTCAACGAAATGAGCTGTAGAGGTAACGTTGTAACTGTATTACAGTTGGATTGAGGTATTACCTCAATAATGTCTTAGAAGCAAAATAGTAAAAACAGTTGAATTTCATATATAAGAAGAATATATAACACCTTTTAAATTCTGTTATTGAAAGACTATGTACCAAAAACCTCATTTAAGTAGTGTGAAATGTTCTTGTAGGTAGTTAGTTATCTCAGGTTGTCGTCCTGTTGGTGCGATCTTCATATGCTGATGTTCAGCATGTTCACCAATGTCTGATAATCAAAGCTTATTGTTAAGCAGTAGTGAACTCAGTGTAAGTGCTTATGTCATGTATTTGTCATTGTGTGTGTGTTAGTAGGGCAAGTGTGAATACGAAAATACACCCTGACAAGGCTTTCACATATCATATAAAAAGAAGTGTTTAGTAATTTAAGATAAGAATTCTATTGAATAATATGTTTGAGGAGTTAGAATACGGCTTAGTTGTTAAGGCTTGTGTAGATGTAGGGAAACTCGATTGTATGACTCTGTAGTGGTTGAAACATTAAATTAACTATAATGTTTCAACCACCGAATCACAGTTTTACCTCTAAGGATTATAGGGCCATCGCTACCTTTTGATTACTTTCAAAATTTAGTTTCTGGTTTTATATTTTCATAGATTTTACAGACTGATAAAATCCTAAATTCTGTGAATTACTTTGTAATGAGTCTAGTACGCTTGAATGGGACACGTAGTATCCTAGATGTTTAAACAAGCGGGAATTCACCGATTGTATTTAGAACCATATTTAACTAGCATTTTCCAGATGGTCAGGTAAAAACGCGTTTGTGTGTGTATAGATGGATAAGTTGTTCTCAAAATCAGCGACTATAGAGCTTCCAGAATAATGTAGAAGGTATTAATGTTACTTACAATCACATAAATACCAAGAAAATTTGTAAATACATGACTCTTCCAATAGAACTTCTATAGCTTTCCGGTTATTCCTATACTACTGAAAGTACCTATTAGGAAATTAGAGAGAAAGAGAAATTCTGCACTTTTGTTCCCCAATATTAGCGAAATCAAGGACTAAGAGTAGTTTGATTGAAACTTATGGCACGAATATGGAACACAGTATACATCAGCGTCACACCTGATCAAGTTTTTCGTTCCTAAATAATTTCTCTCTATTCTAATAATAGGAACGTATGATGCAGCAGGGAACTTAGATATTTTAAATTTTTGGGAACAATTTTAATTCCATTTTAGTCTACGACATTTTCAGAAGAAATTTCATTTTTCTCTCCGGGTGTTAACTATAGTTAAATAGAAGTCGTTGGATTTCACATATTAAAAGTCATGCGTTAACAAAGAATATTCTTTTCAAAAACTTGTCAGGAAGTTGTTGGACCTAACAATAGAAGAAATTGACTATTACTGTTAATATTAAGTTAGTGGTAAAGTAAATTATTAAAGAAATTCACTTTTATTAAGAATCGACTTACAATCACGTTCAAATTCTTGCTTCGCTTTTTCTCTTGCTTTTCGACTTGCTTCAGCTTTTCGTTTGAATTCTTCAATTTCATCATTTTCATCGTCTGATGAGTAGTTTGAATAGTAATAATAGTCCACATGGTTTCCGAATGTCATTGCTAAGTGTTGAAATCCTCCAACTTCTAATTTCACGTTTTAAATATGCGTATCCTATTTACTACCAAGTTTTTGTACCCAAAAACAATAAACTAAGACTGTGTAGTTTAGGAATAGGTGAATCGATCTTTCTTCCTTGGTATTTATATTTGGGTTGTGTGTTCATGAAAACATATTTATGCACAAATTTGCCCACAGACAATGAATAACCAATCAATAGAACAGATAGACACTGGGATTGGTGAACTATTTCTGAGATAAAATATATCGAAGTAAATGTATACGAGTGTACCTTAGCTGTGGTTAATCTGTTACAGAAAAGGTGGAATAACCACACAACTGAAATATCAAATACCAGGGTTTTCACATTTAGGCCATCTACTACGCCTTTTAGTTGGTATCCTCTGTTGTCAGAACAAAGTATTTCCATACCTATTTAAATATTTGATGCGCGAAAAACATGTTAATTGTTAAGCACGATCCACATTCAGTGACCTTCACACAGCGGTCAAATAATCTGACTACTTGTATTGATTTGGTTTTAGTTTTGGCTCTTATATCAAAAAAGAAAGATGTAGAGAAATGATTATTGACTTCAATTTGTCGGAAAACCTTGTGGTATGTAGCAGGAATAGAATAAGTACTTTTTGGCTTTCTAGTTTTATATTACGAGCAGTCTAATGGTGAAAATAATTCTTAATAGTTTAGTAGGCAGTTAAATTGATCAAATAATTGGAATCGCATTAGTAGACATTGTTCTACCTTCACATAAAGTCGATGATTGAAGTTTAGGGGAGAAGGCAGTTACGCCAGGATTGGACTTAGACTATTGTAATGTAATTTATTTATCAAAAAAGGTTCAATATAAAGTAAATGGTAAATTCATTACTTTTACTAAATTTTCTAGATGGAAAAAGTATTTTAGTTTATTGAATTAAACAACACCTCTTGGATGTTTATAGTTTATGAGTTTAGAATTCGATAATTCAGAATAAGAAGGGAATGGGATGAAGAGATCTTAGTTCCAAGTGAATATAAATTTGATTTCCAGTGAAATATTCTGTTTTCATTAACTTAATTATCTAAAACGAAGGTATTCTTGATATACCCTTGTATCATACTTCTAGTCACCACCAGGTCAATTATAGTGTTTATAACTGTCTTTAGTCACACAACACGTCGAAAATCATGTTTATTCATTTGAATATAACTTAAGTTGTAAACAGCAGCTATCGGTGAAGTATTCTTTCAGCTATCTTTTTATCTTGGGTTTCAAAAATCGTAAAACATGAAGAATATGCGTTTTAAATGAGTGATCTGTGGCAATTATAATGATATGCACAGAAATGAAATTTCACTTTTGATGTTAGTGAAAAGAAATTCTTACAAAGGTTATCGTCGCATAGCTTTATTAACTTGTGATATTTATTTAATACTAATAAAAATGGCTGATAGTAATTCAGAGTCATATTTCTTATACAGTAGAAACTTACGAAGCGGAGTGTTTATAGAAAGCTAACATCAACAGGCCAATAGATATACGCACTTTTTTAGTGCTGTACCCCTCCAATAAAAAAGGAACCTAGTGAAACGCTTAGCATACCGTGCCTCAGCTGTTTGCTCAGAGGATGCTATAAAGGAAGAGTGCGCCACCATTCGTGATCTGCTTAGTAGGAATGTCTACCCAGACAAGTTTGTAACTAAGCCCATGAATATTATGTGGGTTAAGACAACAATGCCAACAGTTCCTAAGAAGTAAATCTTCTTGGAGCTGGAATTTAAGAATGATATTGCCAGTGAGATCATCATACAAGGCATTAAAAGAGTCTTGCATAAAGCATTCCCAACCGCTAGATTATGTCCCGCCCTCTACAACTGCCCGATCCTGGGTGCAAGAAATAAAGACAAACTGCCTGATTCTGCCACTTCTATGTGCATTTATCACTTCAACTGCTCCTGTGGAGCCAGTTACTTTGGGCTTACAATGAGGCAGTTCCATCGTCGAATTTCTGAGCACCACCCATCATGGTTGAACAACGGACAAATTAGAACTATAAAGAGCTCCATACTTGCACACTTAGTTGACACAGGACATCAAGTGGTTACTGGAAGAGCCTTCAAAATCATCCATGAGATTCCAATTAATTTACCTCATGTGTAACGCACTCGGTTACTTCACATAACAAAGGCGATTGCAATCCACCTTTACAAACCTAGCCCTCGTATCCAAAAGAAGTTTGTCCGACCACTTTCATTACCGTGGTCGTCAACATGATGTAGCTTCTAGGTTTACTTTGTACACCTCTTCCCCTTCTTGTTTCTATCAATATTCATATTTCCAATTTAGTAACTCTGTTGATTATTTACATCATTATTTCCAAAACATCACCACGTGATTGATAATTTGATTAAATTGTAAACCTATATATTAGTGTAGAGTCCAAGATAAAGAGCTAATTGAAAAGGAATATATTTCTTCGCTCAATCAGTCTTTTTGTAAACTAACGATTATTTCAGAAAGCTGAAATATCTCACAGAATCATATGGTCACTTCATCAACTCTTCGACACAATTTTCGGAAAAGATCAAGCATAATAATATTGATAAGGAGGAACTGATTGTATCTTTCTACGCTACAGCTCTATACACTGCATATGAATCAAAACTAGGTAGAGATGCAATATGTCTTCTCCCCAATGACATACCTCTCGGATCACACACAACTGTAATGTTCCTGTTTAAGAGAATAATTGATTTATGCCATACGATATATTTCCAGTTCAATAGCAGGCTCTGAAAACGTAAAAAATGAAACATCAATGGGACCGCCTACATCAAGACTAATGGCAAAGGCATTAGTGCAAAGATTGAAAACTGTGGTATTGCTATGTATGAAACCGAAACTTTAGGTTCAATCTATAGATGACACGTTTTTTTACCACTAAAAAGAAAGAAATGGAGAGTGCTTATGAACTAATCAACATTTTCGATGATATCAACTTCACAATTGAAGAGGAGTCAAACAACAAACTTGGATTTTTAAAATTTCTGATCACTATAAAGGATTCAGAAAAATTTGCGACATAAGTATGCGGAAAACTAACTAATATAGATCAATTTCGATAGCGTAATTAGAAGACGAAGTTTATCTGAGCAATGTGATGTATTTGCGCAATACATTTCGAACAATCTAATCATACATTTACTTGTCAAGTCAATATATATTAAACCGAGGACTGGGAGGGGAGATAAATACAACAATTAACAGATTAGGGGATTAAAATTAAGAAAGATGAGGACAAACAGGAAGTGATATAGTTGGTTCTAATCTTGGTAAGAAAACAAAGTTTACCAAGGTAGGTGTAGTGTGATAACAAACTGTTTTCGTACACATGAGGGTAGTTTCAATTTGTGTATGGCTATGGCTTCCGCAAATCTATAGATGAAATTATCAACTACAGTAGCAACAATCCAATAACACACAAAATTAGTTGTTTGGAAACATTGTTCAAAAGAACGAAGACCCACTGTAGTACATCAACTCTACGGAGAAAAGAAGAAAACTGTTTAATAACTGTTTTCCAGAACAATGCTGGTTATCCACGCAACTTCATCAGAAGATGTCTACATAATTCGTGGTCAACCAAGAAGTCAACGTCGAAATTAAGCAAACGGATTGTCCTACCTTACATGAAGAAGGTCACCAAGTTTACGATCAGCTTATTGAAGCCTTTTGGAATCGCTGTATCTCACAAGCTCACAAAATATCTTTGCTCTTCGTTATGCGGGTCTAAAGATGCAACAGCAAAGGAAGACAAGCCACGCGTTGACTACAAAGTAGACTACAGAAACTGTGAAGAACACTATATCAGACAGAGAGGTCACCCTCTTCATATTCGTCTACATGAACATCAACTGGGAGTGGGGCGTCATGACATATGTTCGCTCATATCAATGCATACGGACGATTGTGGATATGAATGTGACTGAGAAAATGTGAAAATCGTGGATAAAAGAGATAGAAAGTATGCAGGAAAATTTCCATAGGCTTGGTTTACAGGTCATTTAGCTATCAGCAGACATGTTGGCAATGACCCAGTCTTCCAACCAATAAGAAACACAAGAAATGAAAAGAAAGTGAAATTTCACGTCCGTTGAAAAACTAACTGAAATAAACATGGTGGTAACAACAAAGTTTTAGTAGGAACAACCAGTCATATCCAAGAGCATCAGGATAGGGTATTAAATCACTTGTGCGAAAAATCATATAGCTCGCTTCTTTTTGAAGTTTGTACTGATAATGTTGTCTAGGATGACAGAGCAAACTAAAAAACATATCCGAATACTCTTACTTGAAATGCAAAAAGTAGAAACTTAAGATCTAAGTCACCTCTGATATGATTCGGAATAAATTACCAGTTATCAGATGTATTGTTGTTAACCTCCTTTGGTTAACTAGTTCACTAGTTACTAGCCGGTCCTAAGCCCGGGTAAAGAGGGAAGGTTGGGCATAGGGCTAGCAACCCTGCCCCGTAAAAAAAATCTAACCGCTAAAGAAACTCCAAAGCACAAACGATATATAAAAAATACAAACAAACTTATTCCTCGCTGGAATCGGAGAGGCGAAAGGACTCCAGTTGGTGAAAGCCTTGGGGAAGCCAATTGGCCGATGTGTCTTCTCCCTCTCGATGAAAGCGAAAGTAAACGTGGGGACATGGAATGTCCGCACGATGTTTGAACCCAGCAAGGCAGCCCAGATTGCAAACGAGATGAGGAGGTATCACATTGAAGTGCTTGGAATTTGCGAAAGCAGATGGAATGGGAGTGGACTCTCCAAACTGACAACTGGAGAATCAATAATCTACTCTGATGTCATCACCCAGACGACAATCACGAACACACTGAGTTTTCCAGTGGCTATCATGATATCCCCAACAGCATCGAAGGCTCTCTCTCATGCAGTGGGAACGATTCTCCTCCAGGATCATGACAGCAAGGTTCAACTCAAAAGGAAGGAAGGTCACAATCATACAATGCTACACTATGTACCTACAAATAATGCAGATGAAGAGAAGAAGGAGGAATTCTACAGACAACTGCAATCAACACTGGACAAGACGTCAGTTGTCGATATCAGAATTCTGATGGGCGATGCAACATGAATGCCAAACTGGGAGCAGACAACACAGGAACAGAACTAACCATGGGTTTTAGAAGCGCTCGGTGAAATGAACAAGAATGGAGAACTGTTTGCAGAATTCTATGCATTCAGCGGTTTGGTTATTGGAGGTACCATGTTCAAGCACAAGGATATCCACAAAGCGACATGGATTTGATTTCACCAGATGGACAGACTACACTAAAAATCAGATCTACTTTATCTCAATGTGAAGAAAAAGAAAACGCAGCCTA